AGATAAGACAATCTTTTGACGTTACAGAAATGTTATTGTATTGTTTTGAAGTGAAATCAGACATATATATATTGTTTGTATAATCAAATAATGTTATCTTTTTATATAAATATATATATGTAAAAAAATAGTAAATGGATATTATTATTGTTATTATATTTATTATTATATTTATTTATTAATAATTTCTATAATAATTTTAATAAAACTATACTATAAATTATATTAGATTATATAATTATTATATAATTATTATAATAGAAAAATGTTCTTTAAAATTGAGGAGAATTTTAATCTTTATCCAATATATTAATTATATTTGATTATTTAATTGTTTATGATAAATTACTTTTTTTTCGTAATTATCGCGGAAAAGTTACACTTTATTAATCATTTTAATTTTTACAAAATCAAAGTGATCGGTGAGGTGTAATCATGTAACAATAATTATCATTTTTTCTGAAAGAGAATTAAATTAAAATAGATTAGACTAGATAAGCTCACACGAATATATAACAACATTGGATTTTCTGTGAATGAAAAATACTCGATATTGCGCAATATGTAATCCTTGAAAACATAGCTATTCTGGAATGTCTTTTTTCTTTTTGGCAATTTCGAAAACTTAATTTGCGCACAAACATCTATATTAATTCGCGCGACATTAAAACGTTCAATTCACGCGCAAAAACGGTTTCGTTAACGAAGCGTGTAAAAATGTGGGGTTTGTAATAGGAAGATATCGTAAACCGATAAAGCGCAGTAATAAAAGGAATAAATGGAACGGATGATGTTTTACAGCGATACTTAGAATATCTATTGAAAAATCAGTTCGATACAAAATTCATATCTCACAAACTAACATATTCCGAAGTTTTTTAATAAATATAAAAATAAAATAAAAGAATATAAAGAAATAAAATAAAATATAATATAAAAAATACAGTCAATTTCCCTCATATCCCCCCCCTTCCCACATACACACATACACACACACATATATGCATATTTCTATACATATATTATATTTCTAATCTTTTATACATGTAAAATAGTTTATATATAACTTTTTTTATACACATACATATACATATTTAAAAATATTTTATTTTATATAAAACATGTAAATTTATAATTATTTCTTATTGTTATATATGATTATATAAGCAGCAGAAAGAAAATATCTTTTTCAATAGAACAGATGTAAAAAAATCTTAATTTCTAATTTACAATTCTATAAGATAAATGAATTTATTTATTATACACTAATTTATTGCAATACTAAACTTATATAAATTAGTATTAGTATGATTCAGTGGAGTTAGCAGTCTAGTGTATATATTGATGTCTGTGGGCCAGACTTTATATTTTAGGGACTCTACGGCTGGAATTCATAGTCCGATCTTATATTCAAGATCATCTTAAGTAAGGTTTGAAAATGTTATACGGCTATTTCATTGGCTAAACAGAATCTTAAGACGACCTAAGACCAGACTTAAGACAATCTTGAATATAAGATCGGACTATGAATTCCGGCCTACGTCGTCTGCCCATCTTCGCCATCTGTTGCCTTCTTTCTGAACTTTCTTACTGAATTCCTTTGTTATCAACCGATTATCCTCACCGGCTCCTCTTTTTGTACTTTACCTTAGGTTATTTTCTAACTTCTATAGCATAGCCGCCTTCTGGCTTTTTCTCTGTCTTGTCTAGGGATGGGCGATTTAAAAAAAAAAATTGAATTTTTGAATCGATCTAGATCGGAGACTTAAAAATCGATTCGTCAAAAAATCGACCGTTAAAGAATCGATCTATCAGAAATCGATCTCTTTATTTAATTTTACAAAATATTAAATATTTTTGAGATAACAATACAACATTATTTCTAATAATAGCACATTTTTGTATAAAAACAAAACATCAATAACTTGTTATATATGTTCATTGTTTATTTTTTATAAATATTCATATAATATATATATTGCATATAGTATTGCACATAGTATTGCATATTTTATGCATTGTTGCGATTTTCTTTACTTAACATATACAAAAAAATCAAGGCGTAATATGAATTTTATACTTTTATTTTTTAGGATTGATCTCTAATCTTAAGAATCGATTCACTGGATTAATCAAAGATGTAAGATTGATCTAAAAAATCGAGAATCGGATATAAAAGAAATCGATTCTTCAAAACATCGATTCAAGATCGCCCATCCTTAGTCTTATCTGTTTTCTCGTCACCTCCTCTTTCTCCTTTACTTCCTCGTTTTTCTTTTATCTCCTACTCAAGGCTTCACTTCACTCTTCTTTCGGTTTATCTCCTCCTTTTTCCTTTTCACTCTTTTTTACTTTCCTTCTAAACTATTAGTACTTTCCTCTATCGTTTATCAATCGGAAATCCAAAATAATCTGTATATATAGATAGACCGAAAATTATAATATAACTAAAAAAGAAATATTTCGTTGTAAAATAAATAAAAAATTTACAATAAATTTCTTTTACAAAAGAATGAAAAACATAAATTTTATATAATTTTATTTATGTAATAATTGAAAATTTCAATTTTTTTTTCAATTTTATCGTCATATATAGATTTATAACTGTTATAACTGATAATAATTGTTAGAATCAAATAAAGGTCCATGTTAGATTATAATTAGTAAATATGTCAATATTTAAAATATTAAAAAAAATTTTAATTTTATTAATTAATAGAAAAATAAAATTAATTATTATATATATACAAAAAAAAATATTTTTTCATAACTAAATTATCATAATTAAATTATTTACACGTCAAATACAAATCAAATTACCGCAATAAATTATTTTATCAATATCAAATATGTATGTGATATATGTTCCACATATGTGCATGCGTAAATAAATATATATATATATATATATGTATATATATATTTACGCACATATGTGGAATATATATCACGCACATATTTGATATTGGTAAAATAATTTAGTGCGGTAATTTGATCTGTATTTGACATGTAAATAATTTAGTTATGATAATTTAGTTATGATAATTTAGTTATGAATAAATATTCTTTTTTGTATATTACATAAATTTATGCATAAATTATATATATGTTACTATTTAATATTTATATATAGAAGCTTACACACAGATAATTAATAAATAAAATTGAGGATTGTATAAAAATAGAAAATATATATTTTTTATTTGTCTTAAACATTTTATTTTAAAATTCTATCATTAAAATAGTGAGTAATTAATATATTTTTATTTTTGATCTTTTGCTATATATCATCAAATATTTATGAAATCCATTAATTATAAATATTTGCTATAATGCGAGCTCGTAAATACGTGTTAGCCATTAATAAAATGATAATAGAGCTCTCTTAAATTATAAATTAAAGTGATTATGTATTAGATTAGTAATAATAAATTAGGGCGGACGTTTTGACTTATTTTTAAGCCATTTTCAGCGCACAAGGTATAAACATAATAACGTTCGACTAGAGAAGTTCGCAGGAAGAGTAACGGAGAGAATAAATAATGGTACAAGTAACGAGTAGTTTCAAAATTTATAGGTTTCTGTGTGTGACCCTCAAACATTAGGAAGTTTATTTATTAATTTGTTGTATATGTTAGGAAAGCAATCAATGTCAGTTTGTAAATTTAACGTTACGTTGTCGTTTAATGTACAGCATTTCAGAGATTAGCCTTTTATTATAACATGCTTCTTTATCCAATATTTTAACTTCATCACATTTAAATTCAATCTGTGCTCAGTAATGACAGATTTAGTAGTAGTAAATTTATTAATCTGGTTTTTATGTTCATTAATCCTTGTAATTAATTTCCTACCTGTTTGTCCAACATAGAATGCATCACAATTACCGCAATCAATTTTATACACGATGTTAGTATTCGAGCTTTTCGGGATGACATCTTTATGAGCCTTAATAATTGTGTTGTATATACATACACATATACAAATTAATAGAAAGTCATTTCAATGTGTAAAATGTTTCTGTAATATTATTTTTTAAAGAGTACACAATACACGAATAAACAATATGTAAATATAGAGAGTGTTTCTTTTTTTGTATTTGAATTGAGAGGTACAATATATTATTCGTGAACCATATAAATGATTTAAAGCGATCGTAACTGGGCACTTCGTTGCAATAACGGGTGATTATTCACCACTTTAGATTTGAATATGCGTGCACATTGACTGTGAGAGATCATAGGCAAAGCATGCGGGATCGCGTCCTCTCGTTCGCCCATAACTTAGAATGCTCACGGATCGGAATCCGAGCGATGCTAATTTCAACGTGGAATTTGCGCGGAATTCCCCCTTTCCGGTCATCGTCTGGAAGGTGGTCCACCGCGAATTATATTAATACCGCCACGGCAACCCTCTCGTTCTTGTTAACCGTTGTTAAAGTCGATTTCTTGACCCTCGAAATCCTCAGTAATTCGTTTATTTGAGAAATAATTTTGTATAGATATAGTATTTTTTAAAATTCGCGTTAGATATAGTAATTTTTTATCTGAATTTTGTAAAATATTATTAAATCTAATAAACTTATTTATTTCTATAAATTGCTATATCTTTTTGGATTCTTGTTTAAATATTTTTTATATATAATTGGAATTTTAATTTCTTATTTATTTCTTATGCATCACTCACATACGTTGTGCTTATTTTTAATATATTTAGTTATTTTTTAATATATGTTTAAATATATTTACTATATATTTTTAAATATAATGTAATTCTATAATGTAACTGTATAATGTAACTGTATAATGTAATTCTATATATATTATACATCTATATATGTATATTATGTACACATAAGGTAATAACAAATTTAAAATACAATATATAATAAATATATTGTATTTTAAATTTGTTATTATTTTATGTGTAATAACAACCATAAAGTAATAACAAATTTAAAATACAATATATAATAAATATATTGTATTTTAAATTTGTTATTACTTTATGTGTACAGTAAAATAAACAATCTACATTGGTTTTATAATTTCATTTGTATTCTCATAACTATTCCCGTAAGCCAGCAGAGACCAACGATCGCGCAGTATTTGCAAACATTTGCATCTAATGCTTTACATAACTCCTCCTTTTTACCCTCGATTAGAATAATTATCGTGTTGCCTTGACTTTGTAGTTCGAAGATAAACTCGCTATAACTTTTTGGACAATAGCAAATAATAATAAATATATAATAATAAATAATAATAAATAGCACTGTGGCACCTTTTATAATGTAATAGAGAAATTTATTTTATTCTATAAATTTTTTACATATTTTAATATAAAAATTTTTCTTTCTAAAAAAAAGTTATTTTTCAATAATTGACGACATGTTTGAGAAGACAATGATTGTATTTTTGCAAAAAAAAAAAAAGATTGAGTTGTTATAAAGAATATATTGTATGTGTATCAAAATCTTGATTTTTATTAAATTCTCTTTTTAGTTATTATCTCAACTCTTTTATCTAATATTACAATTTTACCTTATTTTTAAAGACCCACATAATCTTTCGCTTCCAATATTACGCACAGAGTGAATTTAAGCATCACTTCGCATTCGTCAGTTTTGCTTTTAACTGAAATACATACATATATATACGAATGTATTTATTATGACACATAATATTTCAGTGATAAAATGGCAAATTGTGGTAATTGTTGTAATGTAAAGTTCAAAAACTCGTGATTATTGAAAAATACAATTGAAAAATATAATATAATATTGAAAAATATAATATAATTAATATTACATAATAATATAATTAATATTAATTATATATAAAAATATAATTAATATTTAAATATTAATATTTAAGTTTTTATTAAGTATTTCAGTAATACGACAGCACAATTATCATTATAGATTTAATTAATTTTGTTGCACACTAATTAGTTTTGGAAATTATTAACATAACTAATTTTATGTATTTTAATTGACTCACTTACCTCGATCAATACACGTCTCCAATATTTGATCGCGTTTAGTAATCGTCTCGTAATCTGTACGTGGCATTTTGGTATTCAAGAATTCCTTAAGTTTTATTTGATTGATGTATGCGCCTGACATCTGAATTTACATATAAAAGAAAAATAAGAACATAAATACAATAATAATAAATATAACAAGATCATCTAAATATAAAACAATAAATAATTTGTTAATTTAATTATAATCTTAAATAAATTAAATAAATTAAATAAAAATATGTAAATTACTTTTGATTTATAAATCGCATAATTAATAATGCGTAAATTGAATAATTAAAAATGCTTAAATCGTCTTAATAATAAACTCTCTCTCTCTCTCTCTCTCTCTCTCTCTCTCTCTTTTACATACATACGCACACACACACACACATATGGAAAAAAATTAATTAAATTAAATTAATTAAATTAAATAATTTAATTATTTAAATGAAAAATTCTTCTCTCGTAAATTTTTTTACAAGAAAAAATAAATTATCCGACATAACATACAATATACAATTAATATATAATTAATATATTAATTATTAATTAATTATTAATATTTATTATTATTATTTATAATTATTATTACTTTAATATTATATTAATTTTATATTTTTAATATATTTAATATTATTTGATATATTATTAAATATATTTAATATTAATATCGTTTTTTTAAATATTACCATTTCTTTTTTCTGAAACAAACAAGCCAATAAACAGCCAATTTTTAAGACTGAAGAAGATTTATCGATATCTGTTGATGATTCCTGAATACTATTCTCTACTAATTCATCCATTTTCATTAAATCCTCTGGAAAACATAAATTAAGTATAACTCGATTAATTAATGATATTTTTTTGTTTACAATTAGAATAAATTTTTATATATTCTAACAAAGTTTGCTGAATTTATTTCCGGAACAAATTTCTAGACAGAATATTTGTAAAGGTGATGAAATTTATACAATGTATTAATAAACGTTTAAGTGAGAAAAGTTTATATAAATTTTTTGTCTTAAAATGTTTCATTAAAAAATTATTATTGTTTAAAAATAAGCGAGTACAATCGTTCTAATAACTTGTTAGATATATTATGTATGTATATTATATGTATTGCGCAATTTAGGAAAAGCGTAGTTGTTAACTGTAATTGCAGAGAAAAAAGTAATAACAACTGAAAAGAATTATAACACAAATGAAAGTATAATAGAAGCAGATACATGTGAAGATCTAGAACTCATGTAAGTCAAAACATGTAAATAATAACTAAAAATTATTTATTTCCGAGTCAACGATTGCCTTTATAAGTTATAAAAGCAATTTTCTCACAAATCTTTGAACGCTTATAACTTTCTAATAAAAGCATTTCGAGAAATATATATATATATATATATATATATATATATATATGCCGGATCAAATTTATGCAATTAATTGGGCAGAATAGAAAGTTTACATATATATATATATGTCCAAAAGTCCCGGACCGGTCAAATATTTCATAAACTATGCACTTTAGAAAGAAATGTTTCAGACAAAAGTTGTATGGCTTGAAGAGGGCCATCAGATAGTGGCAATGATTTGACATAGTCATTTGAAAGTCACGTGAAGATCATCGTCAATTTCTTATATATATATCTAATATATATAATATTTATGTAAACTTTCTATTCCGCCCAATTAATACACTGTATAAATTTAATCTGGACCATTATGGATATTTTGTATAATGTAATATTATATGTAAACCATTTATTGTGATTTGCAATGATATAAGACAGCAAGAAATTTAACATAATTTTAGAATAAATTATTTAAAATTTTTTTGTTATCAAATAAACTTACCGATTTTTACAACTGTTTTATTTATGCAAATTTGTACGTCTATATTTGGCAATGAGAACGATTGTGCCATTCTCTCTACAACATCATCGCTGAGTCCCATTGTCTATAATATAATACATAAATGTATAATATATAAATGTCTATAATATAATATATAAATGTTTATATATAAATGTAGAATAATAATTAACAAAAAAAATATATAAAAAGAAATTTAAGTGAAGAAATGAGTAGTAATAATAAAAATAGATAATATTAACATTTTATTAGTTATTAATAAATAATAATTTCAATAATGTATAATATTTTTTTATCTTATTTTAATAAAGATAAAATTAGAATTTTTTAGAAGAGTTAAAATCATAAAGATTAATATATTAAAAATAAATTAAATTTTTGGAGAAAACTAAAATTACTAATATTAAAGAAAAGGAAATTAACATTAAGAATATATAAAATTTTGATTTAAATAGAAATAAAGATTATCTTATCTTTTATCTTGCAAAAAGCTAGTAACTTTCTAGTTAATAATATATTATATGAATAATGTAAAGTTGAATAATGTATAATTGAATGTCAAAAAAAATGTTTTTAAGAATAACTTTTTCTCTTTTGAAAGAGTACACACTCTTATAATTTTTTATATTTTTCACAATTCTATATATTTCTTATAATAACTTCACTTCTTAACTTAAATTCTTAACTTTTCTCATTAATAATATTAATTTAAGTAAAGTTATATTTATACTTTGCTTATATATTATGGGAAATAAATACTTACAATGGCAATAAATAGAAAGACAACGAATATTATTTGCTTCATAATGTCGTAATTATTTTCTACACGGTTCTGAGTGATACACTTTGTAATGCCAATTCGTTCAACAATAAACTGCCGTCTCGATATCTCGATATTTGGTATTTATAAGCTATACATGATGATAAAACTATTATGCTATACATGATGATAAAACTATTATGATTTCTACGTATTACTGAGGTTATCACTCGTGATATTTACATAAAGTTGCAAGACAGGATTCTTCTGACTAGTCTTCTAATTAGTCGTTTTTCTCAGTGAATATTAGTGGTGTTGTGTTTATACTTCCGAGAAATAAATTTATTATAGGACTATATTAAAGTGAATAAGTATAATAAGAAATATATTGACGTATAATTTCTGATTAATGTTTAGTATAGATTTACTTCTGTGAAAAAAGAATTGAACTTCGTCAATGTATAGTGATTTGTAAAAAATAATGTATTTTCCGTAACTTACATATATTATTATTCGTTTTATTTATAGAAATCTTAAAATATTTTAATATAAAGATTTTAATAAAACCATGTTTTCAAGTGTGTTGTGTGTCAAAATTAAAAATATTTTCTATAAAAATATAAAAAAAGAAGATTAAATAAATTTTATTAACAATTTATTGTAATTTCCTGTATGATATAAATAAATTTTGTTCTCTTTAAATTTTACACATACATATGTAAAACTTTATAATTTATGTGTATATTGATACACTTTAGATTAATATTATTTTTTTTCAATTAATTTGTAATTTTATACATCTTCAATGTTCAGTAACATTAAAAATTTGGGATTTTAAAATTATGTAATAAAATAAAAAAATAAAATATAAAATATATATGCATATTTTTATTATATATATGTATATATTATATGTATATGTACATATATGGAATGAAGTATATATAGAAATTCTATCTTCACTTTTTAGAAAATTTTTTGTTTGTCAGAATTGTTCTGTGATAATAAGTTGTTATATTTATTTATCAAATAATAACATTTGTTATATTTATTTATCAAATGATGCGAGAAACTATGCGAGAATTGTCGGGAACTGTCGAAAAACGATAGAAATAGCATTCTATAGTTCTCAAAAATAAGGTGCCAGCTAAGATTAAAAAAAATTTTTCAAAATTTCAAAGTTTTAGTGACAGTTCTGTTTGCACTCTGAAAAGTTCTATCAATAAATATTAACGCTTGAAACTGTAAAATGAAAAACGAAAAAATTCCGACCATATTTAGCGATTTGAGAATACGTTTCAGGAATTGAATGATTGCAACACTGCCTCGATGTAAACGGACGTCACTTTAAGTATCTCTTATGAGGTAACAATCATTATTTTACTCCATTATTTATCCGAAACTCATCCAAATATCATCCGAATGTATCTCTAATTATAGGTCGTTGAAACCGTCTCAAAGTACATCGAACTAAGGATAAAAAAGTATAGCGTGCCATTAAAAAAAATAGAGGTGACCTTGAAATCTCCGAGGCGCTTTCACTTTTTGAATAAAATACTTTTATCAAAAATTACCAAAATTACCAAAATTAGTTTTTATTATTTTTAGTATTTATTATTTATTTGATATAGTACAAGTTTGGTAATTATAATTCTTTTCATATCTCTAAAAGTAGCGGAGATATTCGAGATGATTCGAGAGAATTACCAAAATTAGTTTTTATTATTTTTAGTATTTATTATTTATTTGATATAGTACAAGTTTGGTAATTATAATTCTTTCATATCTCTAAAAGTAGCGGAGATATTCGAAGTGGAGAGAGTTATTCCCTCACCCTGTATATTAATGCACAGAACACATTAAATTTTTTAAAATTGATTTGTAATTTTATGTATACTTAATTTTATATATACCTAATGTTTATATATACTTAATGTTTATTAGTTTAATAATTTTAAAAATTTAAAATGTTTTGAAATTATATAATAAAAATATAATATATGTGTACATATTTTATTTCTTTTTTTAGTAAATTTTTTTAGTAAATTATTTGTTTAAATTTTATTGGAAATATATATAATATTACAATATTGTGCAAAAAACCATATTTTTATATCTTTAATATTTCTTCACATGTAATTTTATGTTAATTATAACAGAATTATAAAATCTTAAAATTATCAAAAAAATATATGTTTTAATATGTATCTGTTATAAATGTACTAAATCTATTATTTTAACATATCTGTTATACTAATTTTAATCTTTAGTTGTATATATCTAATATTATATTTCGAAGACATATTGGCAGTTTCCGGAAATGTTGTTCATAATGTTTATACATTTATATATTTATTTATTTATTAATTTATGTATAATTTATTATTAACAAATTTTATTTTTTATAGTGTTTCTATACTAAATATTTTAATTTAATTTTCATTAATTATTATATATATCTACATTTCAATGAAAATTTATTTCTAATGTATTAAATTATATTTACATTTTAATTTTATTTTAATATTTGGTCTTAATTTTTTCAAAATTTATAAATTTGAATATTAATATTTGAATATTAATATTTTAAATTTTTGCTAAAAAATTTTTTAAAATTTGGGAAGTTTTAAAATTACATAATAAAATATAACAATAAGATATAAAACACAAGAATAAAATGCATATCAAGGAAATTAAGTGAAAATGATTAAATTTTAAAAAGTTTATAAGTGTTAAAGTGTGTTAACGTCTTTTATTATATAGTAATTATAATAACAATATCGGGATTAAAAATGTTAACATAAGTAATGCACAAAATATAAGATAAACAAATTTTATTAATATATAGGTAACATGTTTATATAATATAATTGTAGCGCCAATCTCTGAATTCTTTATATTTATTTTAAAATAATATTTGATACACTATTTAGAAATATATTTGTTATTAGCAATCTTGTTAGATTAGATGAAGTCTTTCCAGAGACATGTAAGAAGATCAAGAGATTTGTCGCACATATCCGTTACTGTTTTAACTGAAACAATAATATAATTATTATTTTTATATGTTTTATATGTTTATACAATGTTCATTAATCTCATAAGGGTTGAAATATTCATCATTTGAGAATCAATTACATTTTTTAAATTAAAAATTGGAAAATTGATTGATGAGATTTAACATATTGTTGTACAAACAACAATAAAGAATGCATAAGTTATAAATATAGAACTCATGGCTTTTAGATATTAGATAATAGAATTTAAAATCAAAAATTATTGTATATTTTTTATTATAATTTTATTCAAAATTATGATATTGCTTATAACTTATTATTTATAACTATAATAATATATACACCAATATATTTTACACAAAAATTTACTACATAAAAAAATTTCTTAATTACTATATATAAGTAATTATTTATCATATATTAATATATATATATATATATATATATAAAATGTCATACATTTAATATATGATAAATATATACATATTTTATATATACTTTGAGATTTTATTATCTAAAGTTAAATAAAGAACATAAATATATTATATTTTATTGTTCTAATTTTGAAAGCAATTTTTCTTTAAAAACAAAGCATTTTATATATAAAAAGATTTTATTCCATGTTTTTTAATGATGACATTTATGTCTCTCATTTATTATTATATCATAATTTTGAATGAATCTTTTTAAAGATGTACAGTATGTAGATATAGATGTACAGTAAATATTATATTCTTACCTTGTTCTGTGCAACGATCTACAGTTGCATATATTTTTGCTTGAGTTGCCTGATTCAAGTTAGCGTGTGCCGATTTGCCATACAACTTATTCTTCTGAATCTCCGAATCGACGATCTGGAAATAATTAAAAGATAATAATTATAATATTTGTAATTTTTGCACATTATAGACGACATCTGAAATGTGGAAAATGTATCGTAAAAATAATGCCAGTTTTAATCCAAAATCGTCGAGATCAAGGTTTCCGATAATTTGAATTGACAATCACAGTTTTATCGAAAACTTGGTTTAGCACCATGCCTTTTGATACAATCAGTGCTCATGTATTCGAAATTGATGCAAACTATTCCTTAAATCTTCTAAGATTCGAACAACCGGAGAATGAATTGTTCTGATAGATACTTGTTTTATTAATACTTATATCGTTAAATGGAAAGCATCGAGTATAAGTATACACAGTAGTGATTCTTTATGATGATTTGCATGTGTCGCCCGTCTGGTTAAAGATCTGGCTTATTAATATCGTGTATTATAATAATTAAATTTATATAATAATTAATTAATTTATATAATAATTTACTGAAACAATTTAAACTCTGTATCTCATTTTCAAAATGATAACGAGTCATATAATTTGAGACAACTATATCGAAAGTATCGACAATAGAGTATACTGTGTACATATTTATATCGACCGGATGCGATCAGTTGTGTTTTAGCATCAAATACATCATAACTAAATACGATATAATTAATCGTACAAATCCCATCTTTCCCCCAACATGCCCATTTTCCCTGCAATTTCTCTTCCTTTCCTTGAAGAGATAAAATCTAAACAGCATTATCATTTTAGCACATGTATGTTATATAAAAAAATATGAATATTTAACTGTGAGAGAACACTTATACAAATTTATTTAAAAATAATATAATCTTTGCTTTATAAAATAATTATAAAATAATTGTTTTTAACTCTTTCTTTAAGTTTTTACATTAATTAACACGTGATTAAATAATCAATTATTTATATTCAGAAAAAGAATCTACTTTTCGTTTAAGAATCTACTTTACGTTAAGATAAAATTATTAACAAAAATATACTGGTTAGAGTAAATTTTTACATATTAAATTAGTTTTTATTTATTAATAATAGATTAAAAAAATAAAAAATGTACAACATATAGAATGTACAATAAAGTATTTTAACATAATTTTTATGGAAAAAATATATAGAAATATTTCATGTATAACAATTTATTGCGTTGTACTTACCAAGCCTCGCTTTTCTAATATACATAATGTGAAGCAGCCATTTTTCTTCGCTTTTTCCGCATTTTCTGGATTCTTATAAGAACCATCTTTTATTTCTGTATTTGTAATTAAATCAGCTAAAAAATAATTATTTATATAATATTATTTATTATATAATATTATTTATTACATCGTAAAATATAATTATCTATTTTATTTTTTATTTTGTTTACATAGAATGTTCCAGAATTACTGCATCATCTGCTAATAGTAGATTATTGAGATCATTTGGAGACGATTCTTCTAGCGAAAAATATCGAAATTTATTTTCAAATTAGAAACCATTAAAAAGAAGAAGAGCTTCTCGTAAACTATATTTTATAGAGAATTAAACAGTTATCAAAATTTTTTAATTTTAGATAGAATTTATTAAAAAATTCAGAATTTAATTAAATTTTAATTTAAGAAATATTTATAAATATATATGATGCAAAAACTAGAAACTTGCAAAAAATAATCTTTTCTTGACATTTTCGGTGAGGAAAAAATTATCTCCAAACAATTTCAAAAAATTGCTATTAGCAGCTGGTACAATAACACATCTTGTCACATTCTGTACGTATATGCAAAGTGTTCTATTATCTTCCGTACTTCTCTGTATTTTTTAAATAACTTTTGTTTTGTGATTTTATTAAAAAATATTTTTAATAAAAATTATTTGACAATAAGCTAAATTTGGAAACACATTTTGCGTATGTATATGTGTGTATGGTAACTGTTTATCTACAAGATATAAATGACGCCACTATTTTTTAAAATATTGTCAATAATTTTATTATATAGGCTAGATTTAAACTCTCCAACGTAAGTTTAAAAGTATATTTTGAAACCCATTTGCATGAATAAATTAAGTAATTTTAATATAACAAAAAATTTAGAATTAAAAATTTTTTTAATTAGCATTTTCTGAAATTATTGTTTTATTAATGCAAATGGGGTTAGGATACATTTTTGAACTTATTTTGAAAAGCTTGTTGAAAAATAAATACATAATCAAAAATATATATTTGATACTATTTTGAAAAAAATAATAAAAAGACTAATATCGGAAATGATTTATATTAAGCGCCAAAAGAATGCGTTGAACCTCCAAAGCGACACTTTAAAATTAAATACTTCATGTCTGTCGATAATTGAAAACATGCCGAAAATTTAACGGGTTGTTTTCTGTTTTGACTGTCTTTGTCCTCTGTATATATAGTTTGTTATTGCCGACCACATTTTTACATTATTACCGTTACCGTTCGAATTATCGGCTCATTCGACTGTTAGCGTGTCGATTATTTCGTGTCGTTTCTGCTGGTCCGTCTCTTGTCCGAGTGAGTGAGTGGTCTTTGACTATAGTTAATGAATTTCTCTCTTTTTTAAGATGTGTGACTAGTTTTGATTATATTTATTTTGTCAGTGCATCGCTCTTCGCGCTTTGTACCATTGAGAGGGCTTTTTGCATCGTGCTTTCTCGGATGGATCAGCCTTGACGAAGTCGCGTCACTTCTATAGACCATGCATGCTTGTGACTATGCTTTCTCCTTTCTTTTGTATTTTATTGATACTGCGTTTTTATTCTGTCTCATTTGATTTATTTATTTTTTCTTTGTTTGTATTAGAATCACTGAAGAAGGCTCGAATCGAGTCCGAAACGTTTGGAATAAAGCGAATGGATCGTTAAAATTGAGTTGCTGTTTTGGAAATTATTTTATCCATGCCCTACAACTGCGTTGGCTCTTAACTGCCTTTCGATATTAATTTTGATTTGAAAAAATAATGTCTAGTATCTTGTAAGTAAATAGAGTTACATACATACACACACACACACACACACACACACACACACACACACACACACACACACACACACACACACACACACAAATGTGTTTCTAAATTTAATTTCTAAAAGTTTCTAAATAAATTAGCTTTTTCATCAAACAACTTTTATTTAAAACATTTTTTAATATATTCCTAAAAAAATATTTTTTAATATGAATAGAACTTGTTTATTTAATTTACTGCGCTCTTCTCACAAGTGCGTGAGGTAGTGCTCAGGGACACCCTGTATATATATATATATATATATATATATATATATATATATATATATTTATATTTATATTTATATATAAACTACAATTTTTCATTTTTTTCAATTCTTGATAATTATCAAATTAACCTATTAACCTTTGCAATCTCTGATGCTGTTCGATGTTTTGAATGCAACGCATAATGCAAATCGAGATAACCAATTAACATCGCGGAAAAGCTACAATACTTATGAGAATCGATTTAATATATGCCTTTTTAAAGAGCGAATATCAATGTTTTTTGTGAAAATTTATATTTATTTATATTTATTATATTTAAATATATATAATAATTATATAATACATTATTATATTTAAATATAATAATAAATATAAATAAATATAATAATATATTATATTTTTTCAAATAAAAGATAATCGATGCATTGATGCATTGATGCATCGTAGATAAAAATAGTTGTTTGAATGATAGCTCCAATTGGAAAAACAACCGCTTATGTCTTATAAACGTTGTAAACAAATCTTTACAATCGTAAATCATAACGTCGCTTCGCATGTGTGCGAGCATATGTACGTGAGTCTGAAAGCTGAAGAACTGAAATGTCACAATTCTGGCATATATTTATTGTACTTCAGGATTGAATGCACCAATTTTAAAACAAGCCACAAGCTTGCATCTATAAATTGTTATTACATCGTTAGAAAAGTGCTGTTAGATTTTTGATTATGGTTTTAGTTTTCCAGATATTTTAATCGAAAATTTATTTAACGTAAAATTTCGGATAAGCTATTTGGTAGCGAATCAATATCGAAAACAGTGCTTCTTAATGATCGGATAGAGTTCTTTTATGTACTTGACGTCGTGACGTTAAAGCATCGTTTGATGATGTAAAATTTTATATAGTTAAAAAATGTGTATATGTCAGCTTATTACTCAAAAATAAATTTCAATTATATATTTTATGTATAATAAAATGCCGAATATCGTATAAATATATCGTATACAATGTTTTTATATGGAAAAATATCTAAACATATATGTTATTTAAATATATGTGTAGATATATGTATACATATATATATATATATTTAAATAACATATATATACATATATATGTTATTTAAAAAATTAGAAATTTTGAAATCTGAATCTGTTTTCACTGTTAAAAGAAATTTATGTTTACAAAGTTGTGAAATATAAGAAACAATCTTAGGAAAATTTCCGCAGTAATTTATAGTTCTTTTATCTATAGTAATTTATATTCCTTTTATCTAGAGACATCACGAATATTTATAATCGAATATTTAATATTATCGAATATTTATTTATCTAGAGACGTTACGAATATTTATTATATCACATTTATTAAGTCTGGCACGATTGAATAAAACTGTTATATGTATATATTGTTAAATTTCTTAGAATGAAATCTAACTCCAAACAAGTGAATATTCACTTCAAGTGAAAATACTGCCACTTGTAATTAGTGAAAATTCACTTTTCACAAAAGTGAATTATTTAACTCTGAACGTAAAGTGAATATATTACTTGGTTCGAAGTGAATAATTCACTCGATTAGAGTGGAGTCATCACTTTCGCGTCAAGTTATTTTTTACTCAATTACGAGTTCACTCTTAGGATATTTTAAGCCGCCTTTCACACTAATAATGAGATAACATGTTACGTATATGACGTGAAGCTTCGATTAGTTAAAATGGAAAGCAATCATTGCTTTTTACTTGAACTAATCGAAACTGAACATTGCACGCAGCATGTACCTCATTATCAGTATAAAAATCGTTTAACCTCCTTTTTTTTGTCACAGTCATATAAATATATTTAACGTTACACAAAAAATATATTTACACTCTTTCAAAATATGTTGAAATAAAAAGATATATCCTTAAAAAGTCACTTTAATATGTCTCGTATACCAAGTACACATGCAACGAATTGATAACGTCGCGAGATAGAACGTGGGTCTGCAAATGAATCCCCCCAAATATATTTACTCTTTCAAAATATGTTGAAATAAAAAGATATATCCTTAAAAAGTCACTTTAATATGTCTCGTATACCAAGTACATGTGCAACGAATTGATAACGCCGCGAGATAGAACGTGGGTCCGCAAATGAATCCTCCTCCGAGCTAGAGGCTAAAGTTTGGGGAAAAAATTGAAAATTGGCTTTATTATGGATTGCCTTATTATTTGACCTTGGTTTTGACGTTATCTATTATCCTCTCTTGAGAGATAAATAAAATTGCGTTGCAGTTGTTTGGTCAATTTCAATTTTTCACACATTTTCGAATTTTAGTTCAGAGAGGGGTTCATTTGCGGATCCATGTTCATATAAGAAATAAAGTCTTATTTTGAACTCTATACGTTCCTAAAGTTTAGTGCATCATTTGAGATACACCCTGTATATAAATGTATGAAATATGTCGCTTTTGCACGCGCGCATGTGTGTGTGTGTGTGTGTGTGTGTGTGTAAATTTAAGAAGTTCAGGTGACTTTACCTTCTGCTAGATTCGCATTCTCATAACATTGTTGCAAATCTGCGGCGGATAGCAATCCTCCATGTAAAGCTATGTCCGCAATAGTGTTAGCGTAGGTTATCTGAAATCAATATTGTTATGTAAATTGTAAAACAAAGCTTAAAAAGCCTAGATACGATAATTACGAAAACTATATTTTAATAGAAATTTGATATTAAATTATGATTAAAATATCATATATATAATATATATTTTTTAATTGTAAGAATTGTATAAGGAAAATAATAATTTATAATGAATAATAAATAATTTAATATTAAATAACATAATAATAAATAATATAATGTTATATTAATATATAATAATTTCATTGTATGTTGTACATACGGCGATTGCCATCAAGCAGACGAGTAGTGCAAGTAACTTCATGATCTTTATTTCACTGATAAGATACTTTCGATGTTGTGTCGTGAACTGACAGTGTGATGCGCCACATTCCTATTTATATACTTCGTACAAGCGCTAAATGTAGTAATGGTCAACCACGAGGAAACGTTATAGGAAACTTGCCGTCAATACTATATCTGTATTGTGTACGGAAAAGGTATAGGGGGAAAAGTTTTATTGTATTGCATGATTGATGTACGACTAAAGAAGATGTACGCTGATTGGGAATTCAAGCCACAATTTGCGTCATGTATCCTTCGATTAATTAAAAATTTTAGTATTTTATATCAAACTAAGAGGAAAGTCTGAGAGAAAAGATGTGAGTATGCATATATGTATCGATAATAATCGCAAATAATATTACACATTATAAATTACAAAAATTTAAATTAAATTAAATTAAAAATATGCTTTGAAATTACATAAAGAGTAAGAAAAAAATCTTACTTTTTACTTAATTTAAAAGCTTCTTTTTTTCTGGTAAATGTATTCAGAATTTTAAATAATTTTGATATATTAAATAAGCAATTTTATTTTAATTTTATTTTAATTTTCTTACTATGTCATTATTTTTTTATCCAAATCTTAAATTTGAATATTTTAACATTTAGTGCCGATTTTATTGACTAGAATGTAATAATTGGCATTTGAAAAAATCGTAGTTTTTAAAAAGAATTAATATTTGAAAAAAATCTGTAAGGAGTATACATTTTTTAGTTTTTCGATTTTTTTTCATAAAAGATTTTTTTAAACTTAGGCATATTGCGTCGAAAATAAATCATGAAGCAATCGAGAAAGGTTGCTATCTACTGAATGTAATCATGCTTCGGGGATTTCCGATATTCTTAAATATTGAATAAATGATTTTATGTAATCTTAATTTATGAGCATGCGATGATTAATTCTATATTTTTAAGATCATCACTTCTTAATCTGAATAATATTTGTAAAAATATAATGTATATGTATATGTTATATATAATGTATTATATGTTATTTTATGATAAAATGTTTTATGTTTTATTATAATTTTATCTTCTGACAAAAAAATTACATTATATTTACTTTTACATAGTATCAAAAATTGAATTATATTTATTTTTACATAGTATCAATTCGATTTTTTATATTAAAATGTTAATTAATAATGTATATACTAATAAAGACTACATTACTAATAAATGTTATATTTTAAAAGCAATAAATTTTATATACGCACAATTGTTTTAATTTATTATTATGAAAAAATATTAAATGTATATTAATAGATACAGAATTAACGAAAATAACGCACGAGATATTATTTTTATTACATTATAATTAAGTTTTAAATCATAAAAAAATTAATATAAATTGTATATTATATTTTTTAAATTAAATTTAAATAAAACTCCTTCGATAATAGTAATTACATTTATCAGTTAATATACTTTTATCGTTGTTATATTTTGCTGTTTTCAACATATCACATTTATCTGACTCATGAGAATAAAAATTGAGTTATTGAGGTTATAGATATGTATTTTATGTTATAAGATAAAGATGTAATCGTTTATAATGTATATTCATGTGTATTTCAGAATCGTTAAAATTTTATGCACGGAACATTATATTTATTTTATTTTTTACTTATATTTTCAACTTCAATAAATTAATGAAATTTTTATTTTACTTTATTTTTTTTAAAGTGCCTCTTAGGAGGCCAACTTAGGAAATTGTATTTAAACATGAAATGAGCTTTTCGATAAATACTACAATATGAAATTCAGCTTATAATTTTCTTATGCCATCTTTGTTTTAACCCTTTCAAGATTTTGTGTCCTATCTACGAAAAAAATCATAACTTTTAAAAAGTCATATCTTTTAAACAAATAATTCTATCGACTTTTACCTTAGCTTGTTTTAAAGAAGAAACTTCAAGCTACATGCAAAAAATCACGCACTTCGATATTTACATTTTTTATGACCGCCATCTTAAATCTGCCATTTTGCCAATTTAAATTTTGTCATTTAAATTTTGATAATTTTAGAGAATCAGCATCCCTAAAAACTATAGAACTGCCTTCATATGAAACATATCTCTTTTGGGAAAACTGGAGGTACGAAAGATTTAATTACTGTCTTATAAAATAAGTATTTTAAATTCATCTCATTACATTAATATATTACAGATTATATAAATAAGTTATCAAGTTTTTAACTAAACGGTCAGTTTTATTTAACATGAATTATAAGCAACAACGTTTATTGTGAATTTACAAGATTATTGTGAACCTACATAAAGAGAGAAAAATGGCATCTTATTTTCCTTAAACCCCGATGAAATTTTTCTTTTTATAATGTTATCACTGCACTACAGGAAGAATCGTGATTTTTCCAATCTAAATAATATTACGTATTGCGCGAATCTCTTCTTCTACTTTTTATCTCTTGTTTGGGCTTGCCAACTTGACGTTTTGAAAGCAAAGCACAAGTCCGAATGCTCTTTGTTCCAAATTCAAATCGCCTTCGTTTACTAAAAAAATTAAAAAGAAGAAATTATCAAAAATATTATACACAATATAAGATATAAAATAATAAAAATTGTGAAATCTCATATTATAAAATATATTAATATTGATTCCTTTACTATTTTTAATTTATAATGATTTCTATATATTTTTTTTCTCTTATTTTACTTGTTTACTTTAAAGTTTTACTTACGTGAATTTAGACATTTCTCCAAGTCCTTTTTGTTTAATGGTGTATCATCTTTCTCATTCTCTTTCATTATTTTGTCTACAACTAGCTTCGAATCCTTTATCTGAAATTATTGAAAAGAAATGTGACATGTACAAGGAAAATGAGATCCTACGTATATTGTTCACTAACGTCGTGTAACAGAATAATTATTGCAATTATTTTATGTATTATTTGAATAGATTTAATTTAATTGTGATTTTGTATATTGATTTGATTTTATATATATATATATATATATATATATATATATCGATATATTAATAATTATATATATTGATATGTAAATAGTTATTATTATTATTCATGATTTTTTATGTGCATTTATATATATATATATATATGTATATATATTATCGAGATATAATATCTTATATATTGTATATCATCATATAATAAATTTCATAATATATATACGTGTGTATGTGTGTGTGTGACTAAGTTATCGAAAAATTATTAATCCGAGAAAATGCGCGATTTAAGAAATATATTCAGATATATATAATAATTTATAAAATAATTTTTTATAATTATATTGTCACAAACTGTTATAAATATGTAATTTAGTACTCAACATATTTTAATGGAAATAATTGGAAAGATAATGCAGGGTCTGTAAACTTCTTTGTTAGAATTTGCACCAGCGTTAGTAATCTAGAAGTCTGCCTTCGGATAATATGAACTATTGTATCTTCCGAAAAAATATGAAGGATCAAAATACGATAGATCAAATACACTTGAAGACACGCAATATTTGTTGTCAATTGTAATGTTAAACAGTTAATTAACACTATAATTGAAAACAATATATTGTAACACGTGTCTTTAAGCGTATTTGATCTATCGTATTTTGATCCATCATATTGATTTTTTCGGAAGATAGTTCATATTATCTGAAGGCAGACTTCTAGATAGAGTTATTAACGCTAGTACAAATTCTAACAAAGGAGTTTATGGACCCTGAAATAATGATTAACTAAATTGCGCTTTTATATCACATATGTATATATGTGTGTGTGTGTGTGTGTATATATATATATATATATATATATATATATATATATATATAAGTTAGTCTAATTATCTGATATAATTAAGAGAATTTTATATAATAATTAAGAGAATTTTATATAATAATTGAAATTGCATGTGGAATTGTTACCAAATCTTCCTTTTCCAATATGCATGCTATATAACGACCGTATGTTAGGAAATATTCTTTAGTTTCTTCATCGATATCTTCATCTTCTTTGATTTCTAGCATCTTTTGTCTTATAAGATTCAGCTCGTCTGTCATGGAAAAATATTTTTGATTGCAGAAACTCAAGAATATGTATTTTTTATGTTTGCAAAAACAAAAAATTTTAATGTATAAATTCAATTAAATTTTTTATTTGCATTGTTACATTATTTTTTCCTTTATTTTGTTTTAGTAAAAGAAATTTTGAAAGAATGCTAAAAAATTAATTTTTTATTTACAAATTTATTTATATATGTACTGTATGTGTGCAGAGATAACTAACACTTACCTATAGTCGTCTCAGCTCCATCTAGACAGTCTTTGATCGTCTGTATGCCGGTTTCGAAATCCACAGCTTCCATTTGTATCATTTCATCTTCATCTGCAATTGCCTTTAATAATCGTATACATATTATATATTTCTCTGTTATTTTCTTACTGGCATTCGTCATATAAAAATCATATATAATATTTATAACATAAAGTATATAAGAAAAGTATAGTAGAAATTTATAACAATAAAATTTGAGAAAAATTTTTGTTTATATTATGCACATATTTATATTGTTATACATATGTTTTTATTTATTTTATATATTTTAAGAGAAATTTTACTTAAGATTCATTTTCTAGTATTTTTTTAAAATGCCGCTTGCAATAATAAAATTATGCGAAGTATTCTATTTAGTTTGTTCCATCAACAAAATAAAAAAAGAAAAAGGAAAGAAAATGTAAGTCATACAGATGATAAATGATAAGTTGCACTTACATTAGTAGCGAGAGCTAAGACGAGAAGCGCGATTCTCTTCATTTCTCTATAATTTAATGACAGGAGAATGAACAACTTCGGTCGAGGATTAATTCATCAACTGAATGAAAATGTATCTCTATGCTCATATTTATATATTTTCCTACAATATTCCATGTGATCTTACATCATCAACTTGCGAAAGATAATATCTGTATTTGTACATGTGTATATGTGTATACTATATGCGCGGATTTGCGGAAGCGCGATTGATATAATTGGCTAGCGTATCAAATTTGCACGAATTTCGATTGGCGCTGCGATACCATTATCTCAATTATTTTGTGTGCGTATTAGAAGCTCATCAGAATGTGACATTGATGACATTAAAAAAAATTCATGCCAATTGTATGTGTAAAACTAATATTCAGAATGTTTAACATAATATAAGTTAGTATATAAACTAAAAAATATAAAGAAAATACTTTTATATAATTAATGTTTCTTATTCTATGTATATAAATAATATAAGTAATTTTAAATTTTAATAAAATTTTTAAAATTTTATGTACTTTAATAATTTATATGTAAATATTGTATCTGTAATATTTCAAAATGCAGAATTATAAAAAATTATAAAAAATTAATTGCGAAGTAAAATACAATTAATCAAAAAAGACAATTAGAGTTTAAAGAGTGAATTTTATATATAAACACATTTTCAAGGAGCATTTTGCCTTCGTGAAAAAATTAAAAAAATGATTGCTTGTAAAAAATATTTTACATATTTATTATATAAAATATTATTTAATAAGAGATTAATTAAAAATTTAAAAATTGAAATATTAAAAATTTTTATTACTTATTAAGAATACAATTTGCATTTTTTAAATTTTAATATTTAAATTAATACTTGAAAGAGAGAGGTATACATATATTCATTTATTATTATTTACATATTCATTTAATATGATATATTTATTAAATTAATAAATTTGTTTATATTGTGTATATTAATACATAATATATAAATTTAAAATATAAAATTTTAATAATTGATTTTATATACAAAAATATGCTTTAAATAAAACATCTAGATTAAAATGTACTGTATATACTTTATAGTTCAACAAGCAATCAGTAACAGGAAGAAAAAAAAATAGCGAAATTGGATGAGATGATAAGGGAAAAAAATGACGAAGGCAAATTACGATGATGATAAATGATAAAAATAATAACTCCAATTACAGCAACTACGTAAGATCACTAGAGGATATGCAGTCTCATTAGAGCGTGCAATAGATATACAAAGTCGAGCTTTATTTTGATTTTGCCTATTCTTGGCTATAGGCAAATAGTTTCTGAAAAAATAAAATTTTCAACTTTCCGCTGTTGGTTTCGAAATTAACTGTTAGATAATAAAATATAAGTAGAGTTACTGATGTGAGACACATATGTATATGTGTATATATACAGAGTGTCCCAAAAGTCTGGACACAGTCGAATATCTCACATAGAATGCATTTGAGAACAAAACGCTTTTAGAACAAACGCTAGACAAAAGTTGTAAGGATTAAAAATATATATTTAACTGTAACCATTGTCCATTTGACATTGAGTGACGTCGCCAAGCTTAGGGCAAGGTCAACTTGAATTTTTTAAATGGAAGCCCCTATTTTTTATTGCATATTTTTGTAGCTTACCTCGAGAGCTTTCCAAAACACTATAATAAAGTATTTCTTCATTGAATACTTTTCAAGTTACGAGGCTTGAAGTAATTTTTTAATTTTACATAAACCATAAAATATCTAGTAAAAAATTCATTTTTGGATTATTTTACCTTAATACTTTTATGTACAAAATAATGAGAGGAATCAATTGGTGTAAAGAAAACATACAGTTGTTTCGAAGAAAAAATATGGAATTGTTAATTGTAAATTACATATTTTTTCTTCGAAACAACTGTATGTTTTCTTTACACCAATTGATTCTTCTCATTATTTTGTACATAAAAGTATTAAGATAAAATAATCCAAAAATGAATTTTTTACTAGATATTTTATGGTTTATGTAAAGTTAAAAAATTACTTCAAGCCTCGTAACTTGAAAAGTATTCAATGAAGAAATACTTTATTATAGTGTTTTGGAAAGCTCTCGAGGTAAGCTACAAAAATATGCAATAAAAAATAGGGGGTTCCATTTAAAAAATTCAAGTTGACCTTGCCCTAAGCTTGGCGACGTCACTCAATGTCAAATGAATGTTACAGTTAAATACATCTTTTTAATCCTTACAACTTTTGTCTAAATCATTTTGTTCTAAAATGCATTCTATACGAGATATTCGACTGTATCCAGACTTTTGGTCCACCCTGTATATATATATATATATATATATATATATATATATATATATATATGTACGCAAACATCATACGTATGTACGACGTAAAAAGCGAGTTTTATTTTTTTTAGCGCAAAAAATTGCATTTTGATGTACATTATTTTATCTAACGTGATTTCAACATAATAAATAATTGTATCATATATTGGATAGAATAATTCCAATTATAGTGACAATAATTTATTTTTAATTAGAGTATTTTAATAAAATTAATAAAATTAATATAAAATTTAATAGATTTGATGAAATTAGATTTTTTTATATTTAAATTATTAACTACTACTTTTATACTTATTACTAACTATTTTTATACCACTTATTTTTTACTACTTATTTTAAATAATTGGTTTATTTGTTTTGGATACAAGCAGAAAATTTGACAATTTTTACTTTAAATTTGAAAATTAGAAACTGTGAAATATTTGACGTAGTGCAATGCGAAAGCATTTTGTATTTAATTTAGGATATATTTTTTTATTTTATACAACAATTTTCCTCAAAACCATGACATCTAAAGTATCATTTTCTTCTTGTTTCAACTCTTGGTAGATTCGGCGACAACTTTATGCGATGCTGTCTATACGACCTAACTTCTACCATTACAGATTGCCATTATATCCGGCGACGTGAGTTGCTTACGCGATCTCTCTTCCCTTTTACACATATACACAAATACAGACACACGTTGCGTATTGCGTATAAACTCACACATAGTGTGCAGAGGTCGGCCGTTAACACATTGCGCTTATCGCCGTCGCGACGTTAAATAATTCATAACGCATTAAGGTTGGTTCGTTTATTCATAAGCTTACGCGTTCAGGTGTAGCAGCTGTAGAACAATTCTTTCAGGAATTCTTGAAATTTCAGAAGCTTCATGAAATAAAAAATAAGAACATAGTTAAAATCGGAAAAGAATCGTCTAATTGTAAGAATTTAAAGCTCACATAAAATTCGTGAATTTTATATATGCTATTTTATTTTTGATTCTGTCTTTGATTGCAAATTTTCTACAAAACATTTTTAATATTAAATTTTTAGAGAAAATATCAACTAGAAAGTCTAGTAAAACTAGTAAACTAAAAAACTAGTAAAATCTGTAAAAAAATTTTTCTAAAAGGAGGTGAAAAATTATTTAAAAAAATAAAAAAATTTATGTAATATAGCACAAATAAAAATTTAAAACAAAAAATGGTTAAATCCTGTTAAAAAATGTTATTTAAAAATAAATATAAAAACAATGCATTTAATTAATAAGGAGATGTACAGAAGTGTCTGTGTACAAAAGATTATTTCTTCACGAGTCTAACCATATATAATTAAATTATGTTTTGAAAAATCATTTTCCAGAATTAATTATAAACCTCTCTATAATATGCTATTTATGTTTGTCCATGCGCTTGATTCTTCGCGCAACACATCCTATTTTTCTGTAATAGAAGATAACTAAGATACATTTGAAAGACATTTTATGTAATTATTGGAAATTTTTATTGTGCTAAACATTTATAATCTTAAATACAACATTTAAATATATAATAAATATCATACATCAAGATACAAAAATCAAATATAAATATCTGAAACAATCTGTTGGAGTATAAAACCGATTTTCTTTAAAAGGTTTATTGCGTAGACACGCGTATGGGCATGTATAAAAAAACGTGTCTCTTATTTTTACCTAGAAAAAATAACATATTAAAAGTTCATCAAAATCGGAGGAGAACATCTCCTTACATTTAACATTAAGTATTTATTGATTATAAACTACTGATTTATATAATTAGTTTATATATAGACGCTATATATAGACACGAGCTAGAATTCCTTTAGTTTAGACATATTTTATATAATACATAATAAAATGAGTTTAAGATCGAATTATTGAGTTAAAAACCGTAATTATAAAAATCATATGCTTTTATATCATAAGTATATACATCATATTATATAAATATATGTATATATATGTATATATATATATATACACATATATATCTATGACGAAAAATATAATTATTAAAATTTTAAAATGTTAAATTTCAAGCTCTCAATATTTAAATTAATTTCAAAATACATCAATTACACACACACACACACACACACACACACACACACACACACACCGCGCGCGCGCGCGCGCGGCGCGCGCGCGCCGCGCACGCACACGCACGCACACGCACACGCACACGCACACGCACACGCACACGCACACGCACACGCACACGCACACGCACACGCACACACACACACACACACACACACACACACAAAATATTACAATTTATGACAATTAATTACATTTAATATTAATTCATTCTTTATTTATAAAAAAATTATCATTTTATTACTTATAAAAAACTTATTACTTATTGCTCAGTAAAAAATGTTTTAAAGAAGAGATGAGTATGAAATAATTTATTATTATTATTATTATTAATGTAAATAATAATAATAATTTATACTATATTCATAATAAGTTTTTTAAAATTTTATAATAATCTGCGAAAAACAGATATGTACTTAAACAGATATGTTAAATATGTACTTAATATAGACATTAATAAAACCTTTATTTGAATTTAATTTAATTTAAATTAATACTGATTGTGTGTTAATTAAAATCTTCTTCATTCCAAATATAAATCAAATTAGAAAGTCAGGTTGGTTAGGTGTTTATTAAATATTAATATGATCCATATATATACCTGGACAAGTTAAATCTAATAGCAAGAACGTATTCAAATTTAATTTTAATGCATATTAAAAACATATTTAAATTTAATTACTTTTAAATTTGACATTTGGTTTTTATTTGAGTTTAATTTAGTTAATATAAATAAGCAATGAACCATATTTAAATCATATTTAACTGTTTTTCGTGGCAAAGTATATAAAATTTAATTACTAAAAAGTTTTAATTACTAAAAATATATAAAATGTTTTTATTAAATATATTAATAATAATGTATATGTTTATACAAATTTTTATAACAAAAATTTTCTGTAATATGAATTAATAATAATATTATAATATATTAAAATTAACATATTAACATTAACATTAATATTATCGTCATATTAAAATATATTAAAGCCGATGACTAACAATAAATCTTTTTATACGCAAAATGGAAAGGCATTATAGTTGCAGCAATTTTTATTATGATTTTTTAATATATGTGATAATAATTTGATAATAATAATATGATGATAATAACAATTTGATAAAATATTGTTATTATAGAAAGAAATGACTTTAAAGGAATAAATTTTTCAATTAAATTACCTTTTCTTATGCGCAACAAAAAATTTTCAATATTTATTCCAGTTACAAATAATAAGTGATTAAGTTTTATTATTGTTTTCTGAAATCGATGAAAAGTTGCAGCAAAACTTTGCTTTTCACTTTACGATTGCGGAAAAATTACTGGCTATAAATGTATTAATATAATATAAGATATAGAGAAATTTTTTATAACGTTCTAAAAAAAGTTATAATTATATTTTAAGTGTAAATATATAAATATAATTATATTAATAAATATATTTATATTTTAATATTTCATAATTACATTTTAAATATAATTATATTAATTATTAAGAATGTTTCGTTTAGATTACTTGATGCATCTGGAAAGGAAGTCTATCATGTGATGTAACTTGGTCTCATCAAAAATGATGTTAGTCAAATTTGCAAGAATTTTACTTTTTATAAGTAAACCTTGTTCGTCGATAAAAGATCGATAAAATAGTATTATTTATTTATTATTATTAACAAATATATAAAGAATTTATAAGTTTATAAATATTGTTTAAATAAGATACATATAATTATTATAATTAATTTAAGAACAATTTCTGCGCAATATAATTATAAGTTACGACTAGAAAATATTAAAAATTTGATAAGAATGAAACTATATGAAACATGCGCTGATGCTATCTTTCATATCATGTTATGAAACGTGAAAGATCATATCATTTATAAAAAACTTATTGTTGAGATTGACAACAACGTATCGCTTGTGTACTTCACATATTTGACAATTTTGATTCTTGAATAATCTCATTTATAGAGGAGCAATTATTTACAATACATAAATAATGATTCAAAATATCAACTTTGTGAAAAAATCTATAATTACAAAACAAGTATATGATTGCTGTTATTATTGGCTGTTAGTACATTTTCAGTTAGTACAGTTTTTTGTTGTTAATGCTGGTAACCGTTTTATAAGTAAGAAGAACTTTGCAGAAAATTAAATTATATTATACATTTATTCAGTTATTCATTATACATATTATAATATTAAATTTAATCTTCCTCTTTTTATTAGCAAATATCACTTTAATTTTCTGAATAATATGACATATATATAATTATATTGTATATATATATATATATATATATATATATATATATATATATACAGGGTGACCCATTTTAACTTAGGCAGCCAAATAACTCGAAAAATAAGCACACTACGAAAAAATGTTTCAGACAAAAGTTGTATGGTTTCTAGGGGGACATAAGATGGTGCCATTGGTTTGACCTTGAAGAGTCACATGAAGGTTACGTGAAGGTCATTTTAAATTTCTTAAATGGAACATCCTATATATTTTTATATATTCTTATAGCTTATCTTGAGAGCTTTCCAAAACACTATAAATAAACATTTTTTTCTCAAGTATTTTTAGAGTTATGAGGCTCGAAATCATTTTTTAATTTTACATAAACCATAAAATATCTAATAAAATATTCATTTTTCGATTATCTTACCTTAATGCTTTTATGTACAAAATAATGAGAGGAATCAATTGGTGTAAAGAAAACATACAGTTGCTTTTAAAAAAAGATATGGAATTGTTAATTGCAAATTACATATTTTTTCTTTCAAACAATTATGTGTTTTCTTTACACCAATTGATTCCTCTCATTATTTTGTACATAAAAGCATTAAGGTAAGATAATCGAAAAATGAATATTTTACTAGATATTTTACGGTTGTGTAAAATTAAGAAATGATTTTGAGCCTTATAACTCGAAAAGTACTTGATGAAAAAATGTTTATTTATAGTGTTTTGGAAAGCTCTCAAGATAAGCTACAAGAATATACAAAAATATATAGGGTGTTCCATTTAAGAAATTTAAAATGACCTTCACGTAACCTTCATGTGACTCTTCAAGGTCAAACCAATGGCACCATCTTATGTCCCCCTAAAAACCATACAACTTTTGTCTGAAACATTTTTTCGTAGTGTGCTTATTTTTCGAGTTATTTGGCTGCCTAAGTTAAAATGGGTCACCCTGTATATATATATATATAACTATATAATAATTACACAGCATACTATATATATATGTTTAATATATATATATATATATATATATATATATAGTACATACATATATACATACATACATACATATATATATATATATATATATATATATATATTTATTTATTATTATATGTGTAATAAAATTTATGAAACTTAAATGTTAATGTATTAAATTTATATTAATATTTATCATAGTTTTATAATAATATATTTACAATTTTTTATAACTTTCTATTAGAAAGAAGAATATTTTCATTATTTATATAATATCTTAATTGTCTCATAGTATTAATATAGGATGTAGGCTTTATTTATAACATTAAAAGAGAATTAAATATTAGTAATTAAATATTTTTTTCTATATCTTCTCGGGCCATGATATGCTGCAATTTGAATTTTATTGAAATATAAACTTACAAGAGAGAATTAATTACAATTCATAAGATACATAGATTTTATGTAAACTTGAGAACATATAATTAATTAGAATTAAAAATTAGAATTATTAATACTTAATTAAGCACGACATTGCTGCATCACTACTAGTTTATCTGAATATTATGCAAAAGAAGAAGTGTATTTTCATTTTTTATTGGAGCTCATCGAATAAGTCTGTTATATGCATTGAGCAGCGTATAGTCGTCATAATCTTCTCATCATTGTTTCCTGGACCTTGATATGCTACAGTTTGAAATACAACAAAATGTTGAAAATTATTTAGTTTTACAAGATAAATATTATAATTTTAAGATATAAATATATATAAACATATTCATATACAGGGTGCTTCCGCAACATACAGATCGGTAAGTCGGGTTGCTTATCTGACGATCGGTCTTCTTTTACCGACCTCGCATAATTGAAAAATAATAAAATCAGAGGATCGTAATTTTTTTTCATGAAAAGTGAAAAAATTCCTTGATTGATACATTGAATGCAAATCCGTAGGGAATGAGGAAAGTAAAATCAGCTTTTAACATTGATATAGTGTAATTGTAATTGTAATAACATAAATAACATTATATAAAGAAGATCTTAAAAATAAAATTCGAAAGGCGTGTGCGAAAATCACTCCTCCGATAATTCGGAGAGTAAGGAAAAATTTTATGCGGAGGATTGTTTTATGTTTAGAAGAGAATAACGGTTACATTGAGCATATATTGTGAACATTAAAAAATAGTTTTTTGTTTAAATTCATTATATTTTATCTGTGTTATTATATTTCAATTGTATCATTTTATGTTATTAATGTTATTTAAGTTATTTATGTTATTAAATATAATGTTATTTATGTTATTAAATATTACAATTACACTATATCAATGTTAAAAGCTGATTTCACTTTCCTCATTCCCTACGGATTTGCATTCAAGGTACCAATCAAGAAATTTTTTCACTTTTCACGAAAAAAATTACATGATCGATCCTCTGATTTTATTATTTTTCAATTATGCGAGGTCAGTAAAAGAAGACCGATCGTCAGATAGGCAACCCGACTTACCGATCTGTATGTTGCGGAAGCACCCTGTACATATACAGGGTGATTCAAAATAACCCCAGTGTCCGTGAAATGATACATTCTTGAATCAATTCTAAGATGATTTTTCCTTTTGCAAAATTTCGTCCGAAGCTTAGTTTTTGAATTATTAAAGGAAGTAGTTAACGCATGACGGGTCGGGTACAAGAGGCAGGCAAGGGTGATGCGATTCACCGTCAGACGCGGGTGCTTACGCGGGGCGCCTGCTGCGATCAGCTGGTCGCTACACATACAGACACACATGCGAACACATACATTCTCTCTCTGTCTGTCTGTCTATCTGTCTATCTGTCTGTCTCTCTCTCTCTCTCTCTTTTATTCGCAGTAGTTTTATGTCATAGTAGGTTGCGGTAGGTTAAGGTACTACTAGCGCTATCGACGCGATCATGTGTTCGATTGAGAGAGAGAGAAGAATGCGGTAAACATAATAAACATTTAACATATTAATATTATTACTATCGCAACCTACTATGACAAAAAACTGCTTGCAGTCGCCGAGTAATTATCGTTGCATTGTCGCGTTGTCGCGTCGTGAAATAATATGTCCGCGCGTGTTTCTTTTATCGAGTGATTTTTAATCACCAACAGTTATTATTCGACAGTGATTAATAGTGATTAGTGATAGAGTCCTTAGTGAATTTCTTGTCTCGTCGAGTGAGTAAATAAATGTGATTACGTTAAAGTTTATAAAAGAATGCAGTTCATGAAAGAAGAAAAACTTTCAGTTAATAATTTAGTGTGGATTTTTGTCTTGTGCAATGTGATATCTACGTTAAATTTGAGAACGTATGATCTATCGGAAAATTCATTTCTCCTTCAAGCAATTACAGCAATACATCAAAAGTTATCGAACAAGATAATAATAACTATTTTTTGACGTTATGTGAAAATAGATCTCGGGAAGTCAAAGGAACAGTGTGTCAAAGAAAATTAGTGAAAAGAGAGGGGTTTTTAGTGGGTAGGGTGTACCGAGTTGGTAATTCGACTTGGTACTCGAGTCTCACATAACTCACTGGATCGACCGGTGGGTATGCATAAAATGCATTTTCCCCTCTCCCGTAAAAAAAAAATTACAGATGAGTGAGCGAATAAAAGAGAGAGAGAGAGAAAGAGAGACAGACAGACAGACAGACAGACAGACAGAGAGAGAATGTATGTGTTCGCATGTGTGTCTGTATGTGTAGCGACCAACTGATCGCAGCAGGCGCCCCGCGTAAGCACCCGCGTCTGACGGTGAATCGCGTCACCCTTGCCTGCCTCTTGTATCCAACCCGTCATGCGTTAACTACTTCCTTTAATAATTCAAAAACTAAGCTTCGGACAAAATTTTGCAAAAGGAAAAATCGTCTTAGAATTCGATCAAGATTATGTCTTTGCAAAAACATAAGGTTATTTAGAACCACCCTGTATATACAGAGTGAGGCATCTAAAACAGGCCACCTGAATAACTCCGTTGGTAAGCCGAATACAAAAAAATTGTTCAGACAAAAGTTGTATGGTTTCAAGGGGGACATATGATGGTGTCATTAGTTTAATCTTGAAGAGCCACCCGAAGGTCACGTGAAGGTCAGCTCCAACTTTTTAAATGGGACACCTTATATGCTTTTGCATATTCTTGTAGCTCATCTCAAGAGCTTTCCAAAACACTACAATTATGTTAGTTTTCATTAAATACTTTCCAAGTTATGAGGCTTGAAATCATTTTTTAATTTTATATAAACCGTAAAATATCTTATAAAATATTCATTTTTCGATTATTTTACCTTAATACTTTTATGTACAAAATAATGAGAAGAATCAATTGGTGTAAAGAAAACACATAATTGCTTCGAACAAAAAAATGTAATTGTTAATTGCAAATTACATTTTTTTGTTCGAAGCAATTATGTGTTTTCTTTACACCAATTGATTCTTCTCATTATTTTGTACATAAAAGTATTAAGGTAAAATAATCGAAAAATGAATATTTTATAAGATATTTTACGGTTTATATAAAATTAAAAAATGATTTCAAGCCTCATAACTTGGAAAGTATTTAACGAAAACTAATATAATTGTAGTGTTTTGGAAAGCTCTTGAGATGAGCTACAAGAATATGCAAAAGCATATAAGGTGTCCCATTTAAAAAGTTGGAGCTGACCTTCACGTGACCTTCGGGTGGCTCTTCAAGATTAAACTAATGACACCATCATATGTCCCCTTTGAAACCATACAACTTTTGTCTGAACAATTTTTTTGTATTCGGCTTACCAACGGAGTTATTCAGGTGGCCTGTTTTAGATGCCTCACCCTGTATATATATATATATACAGGGTGAATCATAATGGTTGTAACAACCTTTTACCATTAGAAATCAATTACCGACTGCAACTGTAATCAATCGAATAATTCATAGATGATAGCTGCTTGGATCGACCGTGTCTGCAGTAACGTACAAGCGAGTTAAATACTGTGAATCAAATAATATACATATTCTATGCATACTTTTCTAATATATTTAACTCTTTTATGTACATATTTTTCTTTCTACACGGTTTTTTTCTAATAACGCGATTTCTTATTATTGTGAAACGTATCTGCCACATAAAAAGAGATATCTTTTGCATTCGTGTATTTTTTAATACGATTTTTTTAAAATAATGGTATTTTAATACATAGAATTTGACGGCGATTTTTTCCATTCTTACACAAATCATTTTAACGTGTAAAAAGAGTTGGATTGGTAAACGATACAAAAGTATTCTTTTTTTATAAAAAAAAATGCGTAATTCTACTTTCTACAAGAAATATTCTGCTGTAGATATTAAGAATGTAAAAGTTATAACTTAGAAAATTAATAATAAGCAGAATAATTCTTGTAGAAAGCAGAATTACGCATTTTTTTAATAAAAAAAGAATACTTTTGTATCTTTACCAATCCAACTCTTTTTACGCGTTAAAATGATTTGTGTAAAAATGAAAAAAATCGCCGTCAAATTCTATGTATTAAAAAATCATTATTTAAAAAAAAATCGTATTAAAAAATACACGAATGCAAAAGATATCTCTTTTTATGTGGCAGATACATTTCACAATAATAAGAAATCGCGTTATTAGCCGTATAGAAACCGTATAGAAGGTAAAAAAACCGTATAGAAAGAAAAATATGTACATAAAAAAGTTAAATATATTAGAAAAATATGCATAGAATATGTATATTATTTAATTCACAGTATTTAACTCGCTTGTACGTTACTGCAGACACGGTCGATCCAAGCAGCTGTCATCTATGAATCATTCAATTGATTACAGTTGCAGTCGGTAATTGATCTCTAATGGTAAAAGGTTGTTACAACCATTATGATTCACCCTGTATATATATATATATATATATATACATATACAGGGTGATATATATATATATATATATATATATATATATATATATACAGGGTAATACTAAATAACCTTATGTTTTTGCAAAGACATAATCTTGATCGAATTCTAAGACGATTTTTCTTTTAGCAAAATTTCATGCAAAGCATAGTTTTTGAATTATTAAGAGAAATATTTTACTTATTACGGGTCGAATACAAGAGGCATGCAAGGGCGACGCAACTAACCATCAGACGCGGGCGCTCGCGGGGCGTCTTCGGTGATCAGCTGGTCGCTATACTGTGCACGGACATACGTGCGAATACATACATTATCTCTCTCTCACTCTCTCTTTCTCTCTCTCTCTCTCTCGTTCGCTCACTTATCCGGTTTTTTTGTTTTTTGTTTTTTTTTACGAGAGGGGAAAATGCATTTTATGCATACTCACCCCTCGGTCCGATGAGTTATGTGGGACTCGAGTACCAAGTCTAATTACCAACTCGGTACTCCTTACCCACTAAAAACCTCTCTCTTTTTACGAATTTTCTCTGGAACACTATCTGACTTCTCAAGATCTGTTTTGACACAACGCCAAAGAATAATTATTGTTACCTTGTTCGATGACTTCTGCTAATTATTGCTGTAGTTTCTTGAGAAATAAATATTCCGATAGATCGCACTTTCACTCAAATTTAACGTAGATATCACACGTTACAAAAGACAGAAACATCCACACTAAATAATTAATCGAAAGTTTTTCTTTTTATAAACTGTACTCTTTTGTAAACTTTAACGTAACCATATTTATTCACTTGATAAAACGAGAATTTACTAAACTATTACTATCTCTATCACTATCAATCACTGCCAAATAATCACCGTTAGCAATTAAAAATCCCTCGATGAAAGAAAAACACGCGGACACACACGTTATTACACGACGCGACGACGCAACAACGCGACAACGTGACGACATTTATTCGGCGGTAGCAAACAGCTGTAGTTATGTTAGGATACGGTAGATTAAGGTACTAACAGCGCTGTTAGCCGAACGTAATCATGTGTTTGACCGAAGAACGCGGCCAACATACAATATTAAACATTTAACGCGCGTATAATATTATTATTATCATACGATATACATACATCATATGATATTTAAAATTAATTAGAATAAATGAATGTTTTTAAAATATTGAATATTTTACTATTAATATTAAATATTAATATTAAATATTCTACTATTATTATTAATATTAAATATTTATTTATTTATGTTGGCCGCGTTCTTCGGTCAAACACATGATTACGTTCGGCAGCGCTGTTAGTACCTTAACCTATCATATCCTAACATAACTACAGTTGTTTGCTACCGAATAAATATCGTCACGTTGTCGCATTGTTGCGTCGTCGCGTCGTGTAATAACGTGTGTGTCCGCGTGTATTTCTTTCATCGAGGGATTTTTAATTGCTAACGGCGATTATTTGGCAGATTGATAGTGATAGAGATAGTAATAGTTTAGTAAATTCTCGTTTTATCGAGTGAGTGAATAAATGTGGTTACGTTGAAGTTTACAAAAGAATACAGTTTATAAAAAGAAAAATTTTCGGTTAATTATTTAGTGTAGATGTCTCTGTCTTTTGTAATGTGTGATATCTACGTTAAATTTGAGTGAAAGTGCGATCTATCGGAATATTTATTTCTCAAGAAACTACAGCAATAATTAGCAGAAGTCATCGAACAAGGTAACAATAATTATTCTTTGGCGTTGTGTCAAAACAGATCTTGGGAAGTCAGATAGTGTCCCAGAGGAAATTCGTAAAAAGAGAGGGGTTTTTAGTGGGTAGGGAGTACCGAGTTGGTAATTAGACTTGGTACTCGAGTCCCATATAACTCACCGGACCGAGCGGTGAGTATGCATAAAATGCATTTTCCTCTCTCGTAAAAAAAAACAAAAAACAAAAAAAACGGATAAGTGAGCGAACGAGAGAGAGAGAGAGAGAGTGAGAGAGAGAGAATGTATGTATTCGCACGTATGTCCCCGCGTGAGCGCTCGCGTCTGATGGTTAGTTGCGCCACCCTTGCATGCCTCTTGTATCCGATCCGTAATACGTAAAGTATTTCTCTTAATAATTCAAAAACTATGCTTTGCATGAAGTTTTGCCAAAGGAAAAATTGTTTTGGAATTCGATCAAGATTATGTCTTTGCAAAAACATAAGGTTATTTAGAATCATCCTGTATATATATATACAGCGTGTGTCAAAAGTTCCGGGACGGCTGGATAATTTGAAAAATACGTATCACAGAGGAAAATGACCTAGACAAAAGTTGTAGGATTTTTCCCGGGCAATCCGATGGTGACCTTAGATTTGACCTTGGATAGTCATTTGAAGGTCACATAAAGATTACCTTCAATTTCTTAAATGGAACCCCCTATTTTTCATTGCATATTCTTGTAGCTTATCTCGAGAGCTTTCCAAAACACTATAATTAAGTACCTTTTTATTAAGTACTTTTTGAGTTATAAGGCTTGAAATAATTTCTTAATTTTACATAAACCATAAAATATCTAGTAAACCATTCATTTTTCGATTATCTTACCTTCATACTTTTATGTACAAAATAATGAGAGGAATCAATTGGTGTAAAGAAAACATACAGTTGTTTTTAAGAAAAAATATGGAATTGTTAATTGCAAATTACATATTTTTTCTTAGAAACAACTATGTGTTTTCTTTACACCAATTGATTCCTCTCATTATTTTGTACATAAAAGTATGAAGGTAAGATAATCGTAAAATGAATGGTTTACTAGATATTTTATGGTTTATGTAAAATTAAGAAATTATTTCAAGCCTTATAACTCAAAAAGTACTTAATAAAAAGGTACTTAATTATAGTGTTTTGGAAAGCTCTCGAGATAAGCTACAAGAATATGCAATGAAAAATAGGGGGTTCCATTTAAGAAATTGAAGGTAATCTTTATGTGACCTTCAAATGACTATCCTAGGTCAAATCTAAGGTCACCGTCGGATTGCCCGGGAAAAATCCTACAACTTTTGTCTAGATCATTTTCCTCTGTGATGCGTATTTTTCAAATTATCCAGCCGTCCCGGAACTTTTGACACACGCTGTATATATATATATACATATATATATATATATATATATATATATATATATATATATATATAAGAATAGGACTTCTTTATTTAATTTACTGCGTTCTACCTCACGCACTTGTGAGGAGGTAGAGCGCAGTAAATTAATAAAGAAGTCCTATTCCATGTAACGATTTTTGCAATAATAATAGAAATATTAATTATTGAAATCGGACGAATGAGAGAAGCGCTCGACCATTCGAGCTATAGCACGGCCTACCGTATCAGATATTGTCTGCCGGCGCGCGAAGAAAAAATGTGTAATTTGCAATTAATAATTACATTATTTTTTTTTAAAAACAACTATGTGTTTTCTTTACACCAATTGATTCCTCTCATTATTTTGTACATAAAAGTATTAAGGTAAGTAAGTAAGATAATCGAAAAATGAATATTTTACAAGATATTTTACAGTTGATGTAAAATTAAGAAACAATTTCAAGCCTTATAACTCAAAAAGTACTTAATGAAAACTAACTTAAATATACACACATACTCGTAACAATACTAATTTATATAAATTAGTGATTTAAAATAATATAATATAGTATGATATAAGTAACAAGATATTAATTATATAAGACATTAATATGTATATACTGGATACATATATATTTCATTTACCTTGCTCATAGCATGTAGTAAGAGTTTGTTTTGCTTGATTTAAATTGGACTCATCAGAAATAATATCATTAAATCTTGCAAGAAGTTCTTCTTTTTTTATTTCACCTTGTTCATTGATCTAAGGGATCATTAAAATAATATTATTATTTATTTATAATATTATTTATTTATTATTATTAACAAATTTAAAAAATCTATAAGTTTCTCTATAAAAATCTATAAAATTCATTTAAATTCATTCAAATGGTATATATATGCAAATATTCTATTAAAACATTGAAAAAATATGTTTTATTATATATATATATATATATATATATATATACACATATATATGTATATATATATATATATATATATATACACATATATATGTATATATATATATATATATATATATATATATATATATAAGAAGTAGTTAAAATCGATCAACACTGGCAATATTTATTGAGGTAAAAAATCACAATCACGACGTTTCGACCATAGGTTTTGGTCCTTTTCGAGTGAACTACAAAAAAATTATTTCCAGTAATACAACAACAAGAAAAATTAATGATACTAAATTACATAGATGTTCAAAGAAGATTTGAGCAACAAGTTATATACATACAGTAATTAAATTAACAGTTCTATCGTGAGAAAAAAGAAATCACTTCGTCAAGATTATCATGTCACTGTCTCCATCAACACACAGAGAAAGACTAGACAACCTTTATTATTCTATCATAAATATTGTTTAAATTTTCAGTATCCTTTTGTAAGTTAATCGTGTTGTCAAACTTTTTTATATAAAACATTTCGGCAATTTCTCTCTTTCTCACGTGTTTCTCATTGTGTAAAATAGTCGGTGATGACCAATCGAAGTCATGGTTAAATTCCACTTTATGCTTGCTAATAACGGAAAAATTACTTTCGTGCATTTTTATGTTGCGATGTTCTTTTATACGAGTGCTTACATGTCTTTTTGTTTGGCCGATATATGATACGTTACAATTTCTGCAGTCTAGTTTGTAAACGACTTCCGTTCTGTTGTTAATGGGCAACCTATCTTCAAGAAAATTTGAATATATATATATATATATATATATATATATAATAAAAACATATTTTTTCAATGTTTAAGCGATGAGTGTGTAGGTGCGCAGTGAAGTGGTAGGAGAGGAGGGAGCGGTAGACGGACTCTCCGAAACCTGATAGCGGCGTGCGTTTCTGACCACGCGCATTGGCCAATCTTCTTTAATTAATTTTTCGTTAATTATTACAAATATCGCAAAACAATAAAAGACCTTTCTTCTTAATTTGAGCCAATCTATTTTTACATTTCAAAACTGTGAAAAGTTTTCAGACAGCCTGCATATATATTTATAATTAATGTAGCAACTATTTCTAGACAAATAATTGTAATTTTGTGTAATATAATTATAAATTGCGATTAGAAAAATTTTGTAAAATTAAATAAAACATGCGGTGATATTGTCTTTTATATCGTATACGAAATGTAAAGGATCATATCAGCTTACGTATACGAAATGTAAAGGATCATATCAGCTTACAAAAAATTTACTGGGATTGTCAATAGTTTATATTTCATTTTCACATTTTTTTTTGACAACCTTGATTGTCGAAAAATTTCAATAGTAGAGGAACTGCATATAATTATACATAAGTAATGATGCAAATATGACTTTTTAAAACATCATAATTATATAGTAAACATATGATTGTTACTATTGCCAACCATTTTGTAAGCAAGAATAATTTTTTTTTCAAATAAATAAATTATCTGTTGCAATTAATTTTATTTCTCCATTTTATTATCATTTTAATTTTTCGAGTGTTTCTTGATTATGAAAAGCAACCTGTTATGGGTGTACTTCCGAAAAGCTTATACCTTCGATTTTTTTTAAATTACGTATACTTACGTATTTTGACGTGCTAATTACTAATATGATAGTGAAAATTGGCGCAACTTTCATTTTTATGGTGAAAACCATAAAAAATTGTCAAAAATTGACGGTTTTTAGGTTTATTTTATCGAATACTGGAAAATTCAAAAAATATTTTAAAAAGTTGTACATCTTTTTGAAATATAAATTTTATGTTTTATTCATTTTTACCATATGAGTGATAGTTTTTGACAAAAATGATGGACTCTAAATCTTATACCTGTCTTTTCATCTAAGCATGTATTATATTTTGCAGTACATATACGATTCCACATGGGTTTGCAACTTTTCACGCAAAGCGAGGTCATATATTCGGACTTTTACGCAGTACTGTTAGCTTTTGTAGTTTCCACACTCTCAAGTTTTGTTATATTTTTTTATGTAGGAGGGTATGCTTTGAATTTTTGAGTATTTGATAAAATAAATCTAAAAAACGTTAATTTTTGACGATTTTTTATGGTTTTTACCATAAAAATGAAAGTTGCGCCAATTTTCACTATCATATTCGTAATCAGCACGTTAAAATACGTAAGTACACGTAGTTTAAAAAAAATCGGAGGTATGGGCTGTTCGGAAGTTTATCCATAAATTGAAATCAAATAATGAAACGAATTAAAATCAAATTGGACTAATATAAATTTGAATATGATTTAAATACCAAAAATGTTAGATTTGATATATTATCGAAAATTATCTCGTTGTTATATTAAAAATTATATCAAGTGTTATATTAAGAATTATTAGTATACCTATAATGTTATGTAAAAGAACGTAATATTTATCATTTTAATTGATCATATCTACGTTTACATTTATTGTGCAAAGAAATAAATAAACTTTCTCTTCTTTGATATATAGGATACCTTTTATATCTTTCATATCTTATGATTATTTTGAATACTGTTTGAATTTTATTTGTTTTACGATTTATTTTTTATATATATTTTATTTATATAATGATTTATTTATATGTGTATGTACATACGTACCATATTATCATTTTGGAGTGTACATTTAACTACTTCTGGTGTCCATTCTGAAATATATAAATTACAAATTTAATAATACAACTTTATATGTATGCTTATAATTTGGCAATTAAATTTATAAGTACTAAACTTAATTAAAAATATTCACTTATATATAATTTATTTGTTAAAAACACTATAATAGTAATAATAATAATATAATCACTTGAAGATTATAAAATTTAGACAGCATTACAAATCTCGTGTTTTTATTAGTTAGTAGACATATTTAATATATTAACATATTAAATAAACGGTTAAATAAAAATAAAAAAGATATCCAAAATTAATGAAGTAACATTAAAAGAAATACGACTAGTCAATTATTACAAATTATTGCGAATCATAAAATAAATTTTGATCAGGATTTTAATTGGAAAAATGTAGAAGAATGTTTTAGATCATGAATATTTTTAAAGTAAACAGCTGTTATCAGAAATGTGTTTTATTAAGACACAAAGAAAGACTTTATAGACTTTATAAAATTTATGTTATAGAATTTATGTTATTGTGTACTCTTCCAAATTTAATATATTACACATCATTAGTCTTTGATATCTTAAAGAGCCAAGTATTTATTTGTCTTGGGCGATTGTCTTTAACGATTCATCTTGTTTTTTTTGTTTTGCATGAAAGTGAGCATCTTTTCTTCTTTCTTTTATATATACAGGGTGGGGCATTTATCTTGAGACAAGATAATATCTCGATTGGAGTCGATTATTTTGAAAAAAGTTTCAGACAAAAGTTGTATGGTTTCAAGGGGGACATAAGATGGTGTCATTAGTTTGATCTTGAAGAGCCACCTGAAGGACACGCGAAGGTCAGCTCCAACTTTTTAAATGGGATATCCTATATGCTTTTACATATTCTTGTAGCTCATCTCAAGAGCTTTCCAAAACACTATAATTAAGTTAGTTTTCATTAAGTACTTTCCAAGTTATGAGGCTTGAATTCATTTTTTAATTTTACATAAACCGTAAAATATCTTGTAAAATATTCATTTTTCGATTATTTTACCTTAATACTTTTATGTACAAAATAATGAGAGGAATCAATTGGTGTAAAGAAAAGACATAGTTATTTTTAAGAAAAAATATGTAATTGTTAATTGCAAATTACATATTTTTTTTCGAAACAACTATGAGTTTTCTTTACACCAATTGATTCTTCTCATTATTTTGTACATAAAAGTATTAAGATAAAATAATCGAAAAATGAATATTTTACAAGATATTTTACGGTTTATGTAAAATTAAAAAATGAATTCAAGCCTCATAACTTGGAAAGTACTTAATGAAAACTAACTTAATTATAGTGTTTTGGAAAGCTCTTGAGATGATATACAAGAATATGCAAAAGCATATAGGGTATCCCATTTAAAAAGTTGGAGCTGACCTTCGCGTGTCCTTCAGGTGGCTCTTCAAGATCAAACTAATGACACCATCTTATGTCCCCCTTGAAACCATACAACTTTTGTCTAAAACTTTTTTCAAAATAATCGATTCCAATCGAGATATTATCTTGTCTCAAGATAAATGCCCCACCCTGTATATATATATATATATATATGTATTTAAAAAAATATTTAACTTTTAATTATCCAATTTTCTTTTATTTTAATTAATTTTAAGTTAATGATCTTTAACACTTATTTGGCAATTGTTCAATATTCAGTTGTTATTGAGAGTTGCGATTGCTTAATTTTGTTACAGGCATCGTTAAAAATTTCGGACGATGAGGCGCCGACTGATTTGCTCTCCAGATAAATTTCAGCATATTTTTTGACTTTTTGATACGTAATTAAGTTTATACATATTTATCTAAATATTAATGTCACAAAATATAGTTAGTCTAATTTGCATTGACCCAAAGAAGAGGTCGAAAGGCTCTTTAATTATCAATTTCTAAGATGGATATTTTCATTTAATCGTTTATTTGTGTACTACCAACAACACAAGACTTATAAATTCCTGTGATATCTGAATCAATTTGATTATTTGTTTAATATTTATTTCGTAAAGCAAAATCCTTGGTGCAAAAATATTTAGCATTTTACTATTAAAATTTATATTAATTTAATAATAATACTGCTCTGAAGAGAGGGAATTGTGTTTTTGCTCTCTCTTCAATTTCGAAGAAAATATTGAAAGGCTTGTTTTGTAATATCTATTTTTTGTGATTATATTTATAATAAAAGATATTTGAAAATTGAAATATAAAAATTTTTTTTCAATTTTTTTAAATAAATATGATTTTATATATTATCGATTTAATCAAACATTTTATTGTAATATTATCAATACTTACGCTGCACATTTAATTCATTCATACAATTTCCGTAATTATCATAGAATGTCTTCAATATTTGAGGATCACCGGCATAGGAAAGTGTCTGAAAAGAATAAAAGTATAAAAATATTTTTTTTTCATATATTTTCTCCACATTGTTTTCTTCATATTGTTTAACATTATTCATATGCAATTCATATATTATTATTATTTTATATTATTGAGTTAAAACCACACGATCCATTAATGTGAATTAAATAAGGATTATGTCAGCTGCATTCCTTATTAAAATCAGGATTAGACTATAAGATTATTACATTAAACAACGATGTATAAAAAATTAATGTTCCAAACTCCGATACAGAGCACTGACGCCTAAATTGGATGATGAAAATTTCCAATAGTTTGCATATGAGAAACAAAAACGAAAAGTGTTGATCAACGCGAGTGATGGTTAGAGGACTTCATGCATCGTGAGCAAAAGAAAATATATGTATAAAACGATCTGTACAAAAAAAGTTATAAGATAATTGATGCAATTAATATCTTCATAAGAGAAAAACAAGAAAACGAGCAAATAATTATTAAGCGAAGACTCCCTTTCTTTATCTAATGTTCGAAAATCAAGAAAGAATGGAGAAAATCTACGAGATTAAGTCAATTTGCAGCATGACGGTCAAAATTGAACTGCTGAGAAACAATACAAAATTAATATCTATCTAGCTTTAATCATACATCTATTGTTGAAAAGAGCTTTTGGCTAAGGGGTTCGAATCGTACATTAAAATCAAATATAGCGTTATATACAGGGTGTATCTGAAATGATGCACTTTAAGAGCATATTCCAGAGGTCAAAATAAGACTTTTTTTCTTATAAACATGGATCCGCAAATGAATTTTTGAATTTTAATTAAAGATTATAAATAAAAATTTACATATGATAGTACATACATTATTAAAAATTTGCTTTCTTATCAAATAATAATTTATAATTATAACTTATAGACGTTATAATTTATATTTTATTTATTAATTTTATTTATTTATTAATTTTATTATATAAAGTTTTTCTAATATTTTTCTCAATAAATTTATTCATGTTTCTATAAAATCATAATAATATTAATGAATCGATATGAGAATTAAGAAATGTCAAAATACATGATCTGCCTATTATGAAATAGAGGACTCTTCTAATATTCGTAAAAGTATGTGTGGGAAGATATTAAAATTAACGAATTTTAAATTTTTAAGGGGAACTTTTTTATAGTTACTGTAATTACATTCATAATGATATATCAAAATTCGAGAATAAGAAGAAAAAGAACAAAAAGTTGAATTTACTTTAGATTCTTTTTAATGATTTAAGAAAAAAGCTAAAAATATTGAAGTTATTTTGTTTATTCTACATCGGCTGATACAAAAATTTGGGTATTGCTTTCCGCTCACCAGTAGACACGCCACGAGCATAAATGTCTTCATTTTGTTGGTTTGAAAATGCACTGATTCTAGTTTTTCCTTCCACTTCGATACTTCAACTGATGCATATTGATACTTCCATAGTATTTATATCTACAGTATGCTAGATTATGTAATGTGAAATTGCACTATTGAATTACACATTGCATACGTATGCGTAAGTATTAATGTACTATAGGTGATGTTACATTAAGTAGAACAATTTGACTTAATCGATTTCTTGATATTATGCATTCAAATAATATTTAAGTAAAATAAACAAAAAACTTGGATATTTGATATATGAGAATGTCCGTTATTTACTTTTTATATAAAATTACAACAATTTAAGATGCATTCTAAATAAATAAATTTTACATCTTTAGTAAATATATCGAAAATGATAAATGATGAAGAATGAAAAATAAAAAATAAAGAACATATATAGGCTTGGGCAAAAGCATCAGGAAGCTTTATTTTTATTAGTTTAAGTATATCGCTATGATACCTGAGTCCTTTTCATGACTAATAAGTGAACTAATAAAATATTTTCGATCAATTTTTTATTATGAGCTGTATTTATCTTTATCTTGAAGATGATACATGTTATAATCTAAAATAATGTTAATATAATGGGAGAGTAGTATAGTGAGTGAAAATATTTTTTTGTATCTAGCCTAATAATTAATTTTAACTTTATGGATCGAGCTTTTTTCTCGCTTAATTTAATGGTTATTTTTAATGTTCCTAATGATTATATAATAAAAAAAAATAATTTTTTGAAAATCCTGTATCAAAGAACATCCTAAATAACTCTTCTTTTTAGAAGTTAATTGTGAAAAATGTCAAAAGGAGTGAGCATTTCCTGAGCATTAACGCAAGCTAATTATATTTTTAAAAAGACAAGAGGAAGAATGTCAGAAAAAAGCAAAAATTGAGAAATGTTTATTTTATATCCAATTTGTATTTGAATAGAAAGCGCACAGGCAGAAAAATTATAACGCAATACGAAGTTTAGAAAGTTAATTTGTAAATCATTAAAAAACAGAAAAAAACACCTAAGCTAGTTGCCTTTACTAAGAAAACTGAAATATCAATTTCTGACCCTTCTCTAATCTCTAATTAAAAAATCTTTAAAACTGAGAACGAGACTTGTAAAAGGTGATGTAAAAGATTGCAAGATTGGAAAAAAGTTTTGACTTTAAAAAAAAAATAGAAATAAAAAGTTTAGCTTGCAATAGATTCATTGAAATCAATACTTTATTTAAGAGGATTGAGCAAAATAATTTGATCTGATGGATCTAATTTTGAAGTTCGTATATTTTGATGTTTACTTTAGTCAAAAAAGTATTATTACTAATATCAGTTAAATTACTTAGACGTAAATATTTTTAAGATAATAATGAATATAAATGTTTTTTTTAAATTTTGACACTCCTGATGTGTACTGTACAACGAAGGATTCGTGAAAAATACCTAGAGTACGTGCCACTATTAATTAATAGTGCCTTTAATTAATGACTGCCTCATTAATTGATGATAATTGATGATAAATTGATGATAACATTATTGATGATTTTATCATTCTCTTACATTTTAGATAGATTGATTTTCAAGGGAATTCTTAATTATTTTGGGTTTTGATTTATTTGATATTTGATTTAATTTTTAATTTATGAGTCTTTCTTTGTCTGAATTAATTAGTTCAATTTAATGAAGTTATTCCGCTCTAAAAATTTAGAAAAATTATTTCTTGTAAATAGATGCCAGCTTGATGCGCATTTCACAATTTCTTATTTACTTAAGTTATTTAACTTCTGATTTTATTTAGTTAATGCAAGCAAAGACAAAAATTTGATAGAACCCGAGAGAGAAAAATTTCTAATAATTTATTTAAATAATTTAATAATAATTAAATTTTTTAATACCGATAGAAATGTTAATGAAGAGAAAAATTGTCATATATTATAAAAAATTGTAACATGTGTTTTTTCTGAAGTATTTGTTAGTAGTAATATGTTATTTTTAGATCTCACGTTGTCATACTTTGAATTGGAGATTGAGTTATTTGTTTGATTTTAGTTTTTATTTTTTACGTTATTTGCTCTATTATTTGCTGTACATTTTTTCTTTTTGATCTCAGCAGCGGTGATTCTCAAGGTTTAAGAAAAAAGAGAGATTCGAGCAAGATTATATTCATATGTTTTACATAACACGTTTAAGATTGTTTCATTCTCGGAAATTCATAATTAATAGATCATGCATAATGGTTTATTTTTATCTCTTGTTGGAAAATACAGCGATGTATATTATACGGATAATGTTTTTATTTACCTTGCCGTGTTGAAAATCGATAAAATTTTTACACGAAAATTATTAAGAATTAATATATGCGACGAATTTTTCATAATTCGTTGTTTTTGTAGGAAAAATATAATTTTTTATAATTTTTTATAATTTTTATAATTTTATAATTTTTATAATTTTTATATTTTTTATAATTTTTATAATTTGTAGGAAAAATATAATATTCTTCAATATAATTTTTATTAATATTAACATTAATATTAATATTTTTTAAGAGAAAAAGAAGTTCACTCTTAACAAGGATTAGATATAGAATGAATTTTGATTATTAATAATATCTATTGTTTATTAATAATATTTATTGATCGTAGAATTTTTTAACTATTTTTCTCATATTCTCCGTTAAAAATATTATTGGAATTTATTTTTACATTATGGCGCCAAAGATATGGGAATCTAATCCACGCTTACATCATTTGCAACATTGTTTTAGTGAGAATCTAGATTACCGATAATTTCAATTGCATACAAGACAATTGCTTATAAATCTTATTATATGCACTTATAGTGATTCAAAATACGGATGTACTTTTGCGCAGAGAAACTATTGCGCACTAATATGTTAAATACATAACGTATACATATTGCACATATGCATAATATTCTTAACGATAATATCGCGCGTTTAAAATAGGAAAATCAACATCCTGTGCACATAATTTTATGCACGAATGGGATATGTACAATACTACACTGATTTTTATAACATTTTTGATATGTTCAAAAAATTTATATGTATATTATGTTTTCATGATATTATATTTATGATATTTGTTATACGCATAAGTGTTTTTTTAATTATCACAAGAAAAAGAGAAAGCTTCGGTTTTTGAAGATTAAATCAAGATTACACATATATACACACATACACACATATACTGTTATAAGTAGTATACTGAAAAATCTAAAAATAGGGGTGGAGATGCGAAAGAGATGTTTATGATTATAAATAGATTTCTAAATTTTCATGCAAAGCTAAATATTATTCTTGATATCCACAAGAGACAAAGATTAGAACACAGTTTTAAATAGATTTTCGTCTTTTCGTGCAAAGCGAGAGACTTTTAAAAAAGATACATGAGAACAAGCTATAATTGACTAACTAAAAAATAACATTTAGAGAAAATAATGCATATTACGCATTACTATCTTTTTGATATTGGATTATTATATTAATTGGATTATTATTATCATGGTTGTCATCGTTCAATATAGGTAAACTTTATATATAATGATTGTCATGAATATCATATGACAAATTTTTCGCAACTTATTTTCAAGAAAGATATATTTTTCTATTTGCTTTATTTAAATAGTCTATTGAAATTAGAAATAAAAGTGATTAATGTGGTTTGGAAATACAATGTCTATGAAAAATAAAGAGCTTAACTTCTTTTAACAGTAACAATATTTTAAAGAATATTTTGTAATTATTCTATTAGAAAATTAATTTTTTTTATTTTTAAATAATTATCATTATAATAATCATTTCAATAATAATCATTATAAATAATTTAATTAATAACATAAGAAAATAAAATTAATTTTGTGGCCATTTAAATTAATTTCGTGAAAAGTTCGTGTAAGAGAAGTTATTTTATTGTTAGAAGAAATTTTTAAAGTGTTTTACACAACTATTTGATATATATGTGTGCGTGTGCGTACGTGCGCGTGCGTGTGCGTGCGTGCGTGTATACATATAAAATATCCTCTATTATTTAATAAATCTCAATTTAAAAACGAAACAAATGACATACGTATAATGCGATATTTTAATATTTATTTAATGTAAAAATAATGAAAAAATTAAAAGTCTAAATGTGCATTACAATTATTCAAATTGTAACAATTACTCAAATTGTATGTATGATCGTATTAAAATACATTATTTCCGAATTGAAAAACTCAAATTAATTTTCTTCTACTTACGTAAGCAAGAAACAATTTTTTTGTTCCTTATTAAGTCAATTGTAATTTATATAATTAGAACACTATTTTAATGTTTGATAAAGATCAAAATTACTGAATATTAATGGTAATTTTATGCTAATAATTAAGGCAGGCTAATAATTTGCGTAATTATTTTTTATTATTTCGAGAATCAATTGCTTTGATTACACAGGCTTAGTTCAGTTACAAAAAACAGAGTAGATGAATCTAATAGATTTTGTGACGCTGAAAATGAATCTGGCCATAGAATTTTCCCAGCACGTCGGGTTTTTAAGTAATTTAGTTTATATGGTTGAATAGCCCAAAATCATTATTTTGGCCAATTTCATGAATTTATTGTGGAGAAACCAAATTTTTTGAAATAATTCTGCCATGTCATCGTATAGTATTCACTTTCACCTTTCAATTCACTTTCGATTACCGCCGTACAATTTTTTTCGTTGAGATATATAAGTATAAAGTTATAAGAAAATTTACATTAAAGAAAATTTACATAGACATCAATATGATAGATCCATCATCTTAAAATTTGAAAACTGAACTGACATATGTCAGGTTCAGTTGCCCGAAAAGGTATTGCAAAGAAATATCTAATACAAAATTACAATAATGTCACAATATACGTTTTGCATTTTCTATTAATTATTTTAGAAAGAAAGTTGTTTTTAAATTTGGCGTTGCTTAGATTAGCAGCGAATGAGTTTATTTTTATGCTTGATTGTCGCATTAATCTTTTCTCGAGTGCAAAATAGCTATTACTTATTATTATATTTGATTTCCGCAGTTTAGAAAAGTGAAATTTATATAAAATAATATTCGTGCATTTTTATATACATATATAGACAAATTGAAATTTTAATTCTATTCTTGGAATTTATAGCAGTTTATATCACGTATAAATATCTCTTTTATCTTGGATTATTGGACCGTTAGATCGATTAGATACAGACAATCTTTATTGTCATCATTCAACCTAAGTAAACTTTTGATGATTGTCATGAATATTATATACATGACAAATTAAATATGACCAATTTTTCACGAGTTATTATTTTTATAACAAAAGTAATTATATATTCGAAATTGATTATTTAAGTAGGTTTGATGTTTTTTTTATTAGATGCTTTTTTTTATTAGAAATCGAAGTGACTAATGTGACTTGAAGTATAAAATCGACAAGAAATATGTTATCGAGCGACGCGGTAGCATCGCAAAGCCAAGTACATAAAAAACAGGTCCAAGCATTGAGTTGAGAATCACTATTCTCAATGCGGCGCTACCAAGTAAATTTTCATGTCAAGTAAACTTTCGATTAAGATATTTAATAAACTAAAGCAGTAATAAAAAATCTAACGACATTTTTATTATATAATGTGGATATAAGCTTTTGATTGCGACTAGTTTGAATAAAATCGGTGCAGTCAATTCTGTGAAATGAAGATCGAATATCAAAATTGTGACATTTTTCGTTTTTCTCCAGGTTCAGACTCACGTACATATATTCGCATACACGCAAAGCGAGTTTGTCCCTCAAGCGGAGTTCACAGCGTGCGTATACGATTATTGCTTCGATATAAAAAAGTTTTAAAATTTCTTATAACAGTGTATAACAGCAATTAATTATTATAAATAATATATTATTATAATAATTTATAATAAAATTTAAATATTATATTATAAATTTAATTTTATATTGATATTTATAATAATTTTATAATAATATATTTTTTATACGCTTTTATAAAGGAAATAATATTCTTATAATATTTTAATCGTAATATTAATACTGCAGACCGGTTCTTTTTTATAATTTCTAAGAAAGGATTAAGTATTATATTTTATTGAATACAAGCATACAACAAAGTTAATTACAATTCATAAGACAAGAAGATTTTATATAAAATCTTCGAGAATGTATAGTTATAAAATCAGAATTATTAATATTTAATCATATACGCGAGATTGCTACATTACTTATTAGTTTATTATATGAATACTACGCAAGAGAAAAAATGTACTTTCTTCCTTTATTCAGGCTTATCAAATAGCTCTGTTACATGTATTGCGCACCGTATAAACGACATAGTCTTTTCATCATTGCTTCCTGATTGGGCTTCATATAAAATATGCAATTAATATATGCAATTTGAAATAAAGTAAGTTGTTGAAAATAATTTAGCTTTACACAAAATAATTACTATGTATAATTTTAATGAATATTATTTATAATATAGAAGAAGAAAATTTTCTTTTAAATATAATTTCTAATTGTAAAGCAAAAAAATTACAGATTATTAAAAAAATTACTATATACATACTGAATATCTATGTTTTATTTACCTTGCTGAAGACATGTGGTGATGATGTCTTTCGTTTTTTTCAACTTGGCCGGATCGGAAATGAGTTTATCAATATTAAAAAAAACTTTTTCTTTGTTGATTGAACCTTGTTCGTCGATCTGAAAGATCGATAAAATTGTATTATTTATTTATTATTAACAAATTTCAAAAAGATGTAAGTTTGCAAAAATCATTCAAATAATATATATTTTAAAAAAATATGCTATTAAAGCGATTGAAGATATATATTTTTGTAATTAATTAATATAACAACTATATTTATACGATTTATACATATAATTGCAAATTACGATCGAAAAATTTCATGAAATTAAATGAAAACATATAATATTATCTTTTAAATATAAACATGTAATATTATCTTTTATGTCTTTTATTCTCCTTTACAAAATGTGAAAGATCACATCAGATTGTACATAACTCATTGCTGTAATTGTCAATCGCTTTTACTTCATTTTTAAAAACTTTAATTGTAAACAATTCCAATAGTAAAGCAATTGCTTAAAATTATAATATTATTACACACACACATATAACACATATAACACACATACACACACACATACACACGCACACGCATACGCAAATAATAATTCAAATTATGTATTTTTAAAAAAATCTGTAATTATACAGAGTTTGATAACTTTTTTCGAAGGGTGAAGGTAGATTGGCTCAAATTAAGAAGAAAGGTCCTCTACTGTTTTGTGATATTCGTAATAATTAATGAAAAATTAATTAAAGAAGCTCAGCCAATCCATGCAAATATAAGCGTGCGACGAAGCGGTGGGGGACGCTCTCCAAAACATGATGGCGGCGTGCAGCGTTTCAGCGTTACGTTTAGTGAGTAAGGTCCGCTCATCTCTTCGTCGAGCGGCTAATATCAAGTTTCAGTGGGATGGCCTTTTTCGTCGCGTGCTCATCCTTGTACAGATTGGCTGAGCTTCTATAATTAATTTTTCGTTAATTATTGCGAATATCGTAAAACAATAGAGGATTTTTTTCCTTAATTTGATTTGATCTACCTTCGCACTTCGGGATTACAAAACGTTATCAGACACCATGTATAATAAATATATGTCTGCAATCATATAAATGTATACATTGCTGTTGTTGTTTTATAAAAGAATAGTTTATTTCTCTCTTTATAAATAAATTAACTATGTGTCGCAATTAATTTTAAGATATTCCTTTAGTAATACTATTATTATTTTAATTTTCCAAATTCTTTTTTATTACAAAAATTAGCATGTCAATAATTAATTGTTAATGATACTCCAAATTGGTTGCGAGTAAAAATAATCGATAATTATGCTGCTAAACTGCTAAAATTTTAAAACAAATTAAAATTAAATTTTATTAAAATTTAAATTTGAATATGATTTAGATATTTTAAATATTTGGAATCGATATGCTAATATTGAAAATTATATTAAGAATTATTAGTAAAGAAATGTTATAATTTTTATTATTTGACATATTTATAATTAATTTTATTTATTGTACAAAATAATAAATCACTTCTTCTTTACTTTGGTACAAAAATTTTTATATTTTTTATTATTTGAACTTAGATACCTAAATACCTTATTATGTTTTAACTTTATTTATATTACAGTTTGTTTCTCTAATTTTTATGTGTATATAGATACGTACCACTTTGTACTTCTCCATTACACATTTACATACTTCCGGTGTCCATTCTAAAATATATGAATTAAAATTTAATAATACAACTTCATGTATGCATGTATAATTTGACAATTAAATTTATATAAATGTAAAGTTATTTCAAATTATTTAAATATAACAATTTATTTATTAACTATTCATTTAATGTTATCTTCTGCAAAGCATAATCGTTAATGCAAAAAATTTGTAGCATATTAAATTAGTTTTAATATATTAATATTACTAATCTGAATAGAAAAAATTATATCTCAATTTTATCTTTCTTTTCTACTTTGAAAGAAAAATATTAGGAGTTTTGAAAACGCCTATTGTGATTATGTTTATGATAAAAGTTATATTTGAAAATTGTGAAATACAAATTTTTTATTCAATAAATTTTTTAATTTATAGTTTATATTTATTTAATTCCAATATTTAATTGTGATATTATCGATTTACCCTGTACATTAAATTCTTTGATACAACTTGCATAATAATTGTACAACTGTGTTACTGGAGGATCAACAGCAAAGGAAATTGTCTGAAAAATATAAAGGAGAAAGAGAATTACTATCTTCATATTTTCTGTTATCATTCATATGTATATCATTATTATTCCTATACAGGGTGTCCGTCGATTTTCGACCTTAATGAAATAAATAAGTAGATTGGCTCGAATTAACAAGAAATGACCGGTATAGCTTTGGGATTGTCGCAATAATTAACGAAATATTAAATAAAAAAGATCGGCCAATCTGCGTGAGTAAAAGCGCGCGGCGACGAGAGTCGTCCCACCGTAATCCGATACTACGAACGCGGCGAAGCGGTGGGCGGGTCGCTCTCCGAGACATGATGGTGGTTTGCGATATATCTCAATACCGCGCCGAAAAATGACCCGTCCCCCCTTTTCGTGGCGAGAAAATGATGCGCGAATATATAAATTATAATTTATTTTTTTGACTTATTGTATATATGAAGCTTATTCAATATTTTTCACAAGTTTTCTTAAGTTCTTCATGTATCTATACGATTATAATAATTAAAAAGAAGAATCAATATGGAAATCCAAAACCGTATTTAGCGACAATTACAATAGATTGTTACATAATTTGTATATTATGATATCAAGAGACACGGTAGTGTCTCGCGCCAAGTTCATGCGAAGCATTGCGCAGCACTCTGTCGCATCTATACGCGAGTCGGACAGTTGAGAGTAACTTAGATTATAGGATTTTAACAATGGCTGAACGTATCGAATTCTTACTAGCCTTAATCGATAGAGCGAGTTTGAATTGTATAAAGAAAGTATCTTCATTTTTGCGCTGAGTGATCTATTAACGGAAATATCATAATGCAAAGTCGAAATAAAATTGGCATATATTATTATTAAATATATGTTTAACAGCAAATATAATTGCTGGACATTTATTAATTTATTATTAATTCTCTTAAGATCTTCTGGATTCGAAAATTTAGACTTTTAAGCTGAACAATATATTAATAAAGTTGGCAGCGCCAAGTTTTTTTAATTAAAATTTTTTTTACTATTTATCTTGTACAAATTTTTATTCTTAGTTGGCGCAATTTTTTTATATCACTATTTTTATAGACAATATGACAGTTGGATACAATTAGTGCATGAACTTGGCGCCCTTTTTTTACCTTTTTTTAAAAAGGTAAGTTTTTGGGGATTAGAAAGATACGATATTAGTGTTTATAAAAATTTGTACAGAGAAATATTAAATTTAACAGAATCAAATTTTTAATTTTAACAAAAATTCTATTGTAGTTATAATATATCAAAATTCCAAAGTGCAGGAAGAGCGCGAAAAAGTAGGAATACAATATTGCATATTTTCTTTAATGATGTAAATAAAGAAAAAAAATAGCAAAATTATTTTTTTCATTTGATCACATATTGTCTCAGAAACGGCTAATTCATGTATTATTTTTCACTTACCAGGAAACACGTCACAAGTGCAAGAGTTTTCATTTTATTTGTTTGGAATGTAAGATATACCGATTCCAGTTCTCTCGACTACTTCAACTGATATGAACGCATGAATATTTCAGTTGTATTTATATGTTGTACTTATTACGTGTTCTATTTATAAAAATTGATTGATGATATAAAATGAAATGAATTGCATATTGTAGAAACGTGCGCATAAATCTACATATTATAGATAATGTAATTGTTGACCACAGTAATTTGATTTAATCGATTTCTTGACATCATAATAATTCTTGACATTGAATAATAATTAAGCGAAATAAAAAGAACTTAGACGGAGAAAATGTAAAATGTTCACTATTTATTTTTAATATAAAAATATGAAATTAACATCATGTAATTTATAAATTTTATGTTCTATATAAATATATTGAAAACAATATTAGTGAAGAAAAATAAAAGTTAAAAATAAAAGAAAATCCGTGTACACACACACACACACACACGCGCGCGCACACACACACACACACACACACACACACACACACACACATGTGTATACAGGGTGTTTCAGACCACCCGTACCACCCATTTAAAAACTAGAGAAATGGTTATTTCAAAAAAGTAAAAACATTTTTATTATAAATCGGGTGCGCCCTATCGAATGGTAATATTTTTAACTTCCGGCCAGAAATAGGATTCAGACCGGAAGTGACCAGTGATTCAGACCATTTTTTTAAATGGAACCCCCTATTTTTCATTGCATATTCTTGTAGCTTACCTCAAAAGCTTTCCAAAACACTATAATAAATTATTTTTCCATAAAGTACTTTTCGAGTTATGAAGCTTGAAATCATTTCTTAATTTTACATAAACCATAAAATATCTTGTAAAATATTCATTTTTTGATTATCTCATCTTAATACTTTTATGTACAAAATAATGAGAGGAATTGGTGTAAAGAAAACATAGTTGTTTTTAAGAAAAAAATATGGAATTGTTAATTGCAAATTACATATTTTTTCTTGATGTTGTGATGTTTTGTTTATATGTTTATATAAACTTTTTCTCTTATTTTTGTCTCTTGAATCTACTATTGCAATATTTCCCTTTTTAGGATACACCCTGTATATATATTGTGTGTGTGTGTATGTGTGTGTGTGTGTGTGCGCGCGCGTGCGGGTGCGTGTGTGTGTGTGGTTGTGTATGTGTATATATGTATGAATAAATTGCGTGGAAGATAATTATTACAATAATTATTGTCATTATCGTGGAAGATAATTATTATAATAATTATTGTCTTGGAAGAACGGACTTTATAATTAAGTATATTTCTCTTTTACATACAAAATAATTTTTTTGTTTAAGAGCTCAATCAAGTTTATGCAGTATAAAAGTCAAGAATGATTAACATAAATAATCGCTTTAAAAAGGAAAATGTCAGTTCTTGTAAATTTTTTTTTATTGCTGATAATTATCAATATTTGCATTGTAAATATATCTTCACTGAGAAAAATGTCCGATGAAAAGGTAAAACGGATATTATACCGATCACTTTAATCGGATATCTGATCGGAAAGTTCCGAATTTTGAACTTTCTGATCAGATATCCGATCGATCGATATTTTCTGATTGGATATCTGACTGGTTTCTTTTTTTTCTGATTAAAGTGATCGATATAATATCCGTTCGTTACCTTTTCACCGGATATTTTTCTCAGTGTTGTCTTGATTTTCTTTCTTTGGTCAATCGATTTAAAATCTTGATGATATCGAAAGTAAGTTTTTACACTTATAAATAACTTACATGTAAATTCAAGTACACTTATAAATAATTTGCATATAAATTCGAGTATATTTATAAATAATTTATATATAAATTCTAAATGAAGGTATATATTCAAGTATATATTGAGTTAATTAAATGTAGTTTTTTAATATTTAGCTAGATGTAATATTTTATTTATAAGAGAAAATTATTTATAAGCAGATGATCGAAAGTAATGCTAAATATAAAATAGGAATACGAATCTTTCTGAAAAACATACATATATAAATTTGAAAAGATATATACATATAATAATGTAATACGTGTTGTTTTAATTTTTATCTTTTGTAGAGAATTCTCAAGATTCTTGGTTTATCTTCTCTCATCTTTGAGAATTCATTAGATGATACATATTATTTTTTATTCGATTTCTATATTTTTTTTTCGAAATAATTTGATACAACTGCTTTAATTTTCATTTCCGATATTTGAAAAGACTCGAAAAATCGGAAATGAAAAGTAAAACAATCAAATTATAACAATCAAATCAAATTATATTAATAAAATTAATCTTGTCGTATTGATGAGATAATAAATAAAAGTAGATTCTTATGAAATATGATGTATAATAATGATGTATAATCAATCAATGTTATATTATTTCGCTTATATGTGTTTTGATTTTTAAATTTAATAAATATATAAATTATAAATTTTGTATTTTAAAAAAATCGAAATTTTTCGTATCTTTTACATAATAATAAAATGTGTTTATTTATAACTTATTAATATAAAAATAATATTTTGCTATCATTATTTTGCTAAAATATTTATTTGCTGAAATATTCCTTAATAAATTAACAGTTCGTAGTGAGTTGTTAAATTATCACAATTTTTAATGACCACGTTTCTTATATTTTTAATAAAAATTAAGAATCAAGTACTAATTAAGTTAGTATTAATTGTAAATTTCTATCTAAGCAAAACGTTTTAAATATATTATTTAATTGTAATGTAGTTAATAGAAATTGGAAAATAATTTGGAGAACATTAGAGAAAACAACATTAAAGAAAACAAATAAAAAAAGATACTTAGATTTGCAATTTACATACATATATTATTATGTTATATTATTTATTAAGGAATATTAGTAAAAGGTTAATAGTCTGAATTATAATTCTGATTCAAATTTTTAAAGATTTCTTGGAATTAATGATTCTTATGAGGTGTTTAATTCTAATTAAATTTCAAAATTTTTCTATGTAGAATGTGGGATGCACATATCATTTCTACGATGTATATTCAACCAGAATCCGCCTTTCGGTATATTTGTTGCATTTTTCTGAAGAATTTCAGAAGAAAGAAGAAGAATTTCAAAGGTAATTTTATACATAATTTCAGTTTATATTGGACTAACAAAATGAGACAACAAGAGTACTTTCAATATAGCAAATCGTTAGACCATGCACATTTTTGATTCAAATCCAAATGATATCTGATGAAATGAATTGTGATACATCTTATTGTTTTTTCTCAAAAATCTTTCCGGATAAAATATGTCCTGATTATCGTAGTACTTCTCATCACGATGGATCATAAAAATTCTTGTACATGACAAAAGATTTCTCACTTGATAATGCAGATGGTTGGAGATGGTTGCAGATGATTGAAGCGTTGGTCACTTCTATTTCTAATTGCAATGAGTTATTTAAATAATTGATTTTATTAATATTAATGAAATATTATTAAAATCAATTATTTAAATAACTCATTGTAATTAGAAATAGAAGTGAACAACGCTTATTGCTCAGAATACAAAACCTATAAAAGATAAATGTCTTGAAAGAGAATATTCTATGAAAGTTCCATAAGAAAATTTATTTGTCCATTCTTATGTTATAAATCATTTAATTAATAAAAGTAGAAAAACTTTTCTGATTATTTCAATTAAGTGAAAAGATTTTTAAGGAGAAAAATTATCTTTAGAACGAACTTATAAAAATTCTATAATTACAGAGCACAATTTAAATATAATTGAAATAAATAGGTATAAATAATTAATAATTAAGTAATAATTGATTAATTAAGTATAATTGAAATAAACAGGTATAAATAGGTATGGAAATTTAAAGCTTGATACTACAATATCAAATGAAATAAACAACAACAAAACATTAACATAAAATAAAATCTTTATTGATTTCCGCATAATTGCTACTTTTATTGATATTATGTTTATATATATATATATATATATATATATATATTATATATTATACATATATATATCTTATATATATATAATATATATCTATATCTTATATATATATAATATGTATAATATATAATATATATAGATCTAATATATATATATCTTATAGATATCTTAGAGATAGATATAATAAAATAGATATAAGATAGAGAAGATGAAAATAGATATAAGAAATAGATATAAGATATAGATATAATATATATATATCTTATATGTATAGATCTTATATAGATAGATATTTTATATATCTCTTTTTCTACAGCTTGTCTACAAACTCGACTATTGGCACTAAGCATCCACTGAGTCCCATTTTTCTTTCATATGGGTACCTTCCTACTGCGCCTACAGAAACAGAATTTTATGTCTTACAAGTTATTGCAATTTTATCATTAATATATTAATACATTAAAAATTACAATGTAATAATTAATGTGTGCAATAATATTACATATTCTCCTGTTTATAAATTAAGTAGATCTTGCTAAACTGAATTAAAAAGTCCTATATCCTTTTACAAATAATTACGCAAAATTTCGAGATATTAATAAGTTGTTTGCAAAACGGTATAGGACTTTTCAATTCGACTTAACGAAATCTACTTATGGTTTTTTGGCAGATGATACAACAGACCCCCTGTACACACACACACACGCGCGCGCGCGCGCGCGCACGCGTTTTTGGACGACTAATTTCGTAAAGATATATGTTAAGATATATGTTTATATATGTTAAGAACCATAATTAACTACTACTAACTTCTTTTAACAGTAAAAATACTTTAAATAATATTTTGTAATTATTCTATTAGAATATTAATTTTTTTTATTTTTAAATAATTATCATCATAATAATCATTTCAATAATAATCATTATAAATAATTTAATTAATAACATAAGAAAATAAAATTAATTTTGTGGCCATTTAAATTAATTTCGTGAAAAGTTCGTGTAAGAGAAGTTATTTTATTGTTAGAAGAAATTTTTAAAGTGTTTTACACAACTATTTGATATATATGTGTGCGTGTGCGTGCGTGTGCGTGCGTGCGTGTATACATATAAAATATCCTCTATTATTTAATAAATCTCAATTTCAAAACGAAACAAATGACATACGTATAATGCGATATTTTAATATTTATTTAATGCAAAAATATTGAAAAAATTAAAAGTCTAAATGTGCATTACAATTATTTAAATTGTAACAATTACTCAAATTGTATGTATGATCGTATTAATATACATTATTTCCGAATTGAAAAACTCAAATTAATTTTCTTCTACTTACGTAAGCAAGAAACAATTTTTTTGTTCCTTATTAAGTCAATTGTAATTTATATAATTAGAACATTATTTTAATGTTTGATAAATATCAAAATTATTGAATATTAATGCTAATTTATGCTAATAATTAAGGCAGGCTAATAATTTGCGTAATTATTTTTTATTATTTCGAGAATTAATTGCTTTGATTACACAGGCTTAGTTCAGTTACAAAAAACAGAGTAGGTGAATCTAATAGATTTTGTGACGCTGAAAATGAATCTGGCCGTAGAATTTTCCCAGCACGTCGGGTTTTTAAGTAATTTAGTTTATATAGTTGAATAGCCCAAAATCACTATTTTGGCCAATTTCATGAATTTATTGTGGAGAAATCAAATTTTTTGAAATAATTCTGCCATGTCATCGTATAGTATTCACTTTCACCTTTCAATTCACTTTCGATTACCGCCGCACAATTTTTTTCGTTGAGATATATAAGTATAAAGTTATAAGAAAATTTACGTTAAAGAAAATTTACATAGACATCAATATGATAGATCCATCATCTTGAAATTTGAAAATTGAACTGATATATGTCAGGTTCAGTTGCCCGAAAAGGTATTGCAAAGAAATATCTAATACAAAATTACATTAATGTCACAATATACGTTTTGCATCTTCTATTAATTATTTTAGAAAGAAGGTTGTTTTTAAATTTGGCGTTGCTTAGATTAGCAGCGAATGAGTTTATTTTTATGCTTGATTGTCGCATTAATCTTTTCTCGAGTGCAAAATAGCTATTACTTATTATTATATTTGATTTCCGCAGTTTAGAAAAGTGAAATTTATATAAAATAATATTCGTGCATTTATATATACATATATAGACAAATTGAAATTTTATGTCTATTCTTGGAATTTATAGCAGTTTATATCACGTATAAATATCTCTTTTATCTTGGATTATTGGACCATTAGGTCGATTAGATACAGCCAATCTTTATTGTCATTATTCAACCTAAGTAAACTTTTGATGATTGTCATGAATATTATATACATGACAAATTAAATATGACCAATTTTTCACGAGTTATTATTTTTATAACAAAAGTAATTATATATTCGAAATTGATTATTTAAGTAGGTTTGATTGTTTTTTTTATTAGATGCTTTTTTTATTAGAAATCGAAGTGACTAATGTGACTTGAAGTATAAAATCTACAAGAAATATGTTATCGAGCGACGCGGTAGCATCGCAAAGCCAAGTACATAAAAAACAGGTCCAAGCATTGAGTTGAGAATCACTATTCTCAATGCGGCGTTACCAAGTAAACTTTCATGTCAAGTAAACTTTCGATTAAGATATTTAATAAACTAAAGCAGTAATAAAAAATCTAACGACATTTGTATTATATAATGTGGATATAAGCTTTCAATTGCGACCAGTTTGAATAAAATTGGTGCAGTCAATTCTGAGAAATGAAGATCGAATATCAGAATTGTGACATTTTTCGTTTTTCTCCAGGTTCAGACTCACGTACATACTATATGTTCGCATACACGCAAAGCGAGTTTGTCCCTCAAGCGGCGTTCACAGTGTGCGTATACAATTATTGCTTCGATATAAAAAAGTTTTAAAATTTCTTATAACAGTGTATAACAGCAATTAATTATTATAAATAATATCTTATTATAATAATTTATAATAAAATTTAAATATTATATTATAAATTTAATTTTATATAGATATTTATAATAATTTTATAATAATATATTTTTATACGCTTTTATAAAGGAAATAATATTCTTATAATATTTAATCGTAATATTAATACTGGAGACCGGTTCTTTTTTATAATTTCTAAGAAAGGATTAAGTATTATATTTTATTGAATACAAGCATACAAAGTTAATTACAATTCATAAGACAAGAAGGTTTTATATAAAATCTTCGAGAATGTATAGTTATAAAATCAGAATTATTAATATTTAATCATATACGCGAGATTGCTACATTACTTATTAGTTTATTATATGAATACTACGCAAGAGAAAAAATGTACTTTCTTCCTTTATTCAGGCTTATCAAATAGCTTTGTTACATGTACTGCGCACCGTATAAGCGACATAGTCTTTTCATCATTGCTTCCTGATTGGGCTACATATAAAATATGCAATTAATATATGCAATTTGAAATAAAGTAAGTTGTTGAAAATAATTTAGCTTTACACAAAATAATTACTATGTATAATTTTAATGAATATTATTTATAATATAGAAGAAGAAAATTTTCTTTTAAATATAATTTCTAATTGTAAAGCAAAAAAATTACGGATTATTAAAAAAATTATTACATACTGAATATCTATGTTTTATTTACCTTGCGGAAGACATGTGGTGGTGATGTCTTTTGCTTCCTTCAACTTGGCCGGATCGGAAATGAGTTTATCAAGATTAGCATAAAGTTTTTCTTTGTTGATTAAACCTTGTTCGTCGATCTGAAAGATCGATAAAATTGTATTATTTATTTATTATTAACAAATTTCAAAAAGATGTAAGTTTGCAAAAATCATTCAAATAATATATATTTTAAAAAAATATGCTATTAAAGCGATTGAAGATATATATTTTGTAATTAATTAATATAACAACTATATTTATACGATTTATACATATAATTGTAAATTATGATCGAAAAATTTCATGAAATTAAATGAAAACATGTAATATTATCTTTTAAATGTAAACATGTAATATTATCTTTTATGTCTTTTATTCTCCTTTACAAAATGTGAAAGATCACATCAGTTTGTACATAACTCATTGCTGTAATTGTCAATCGCTTTTACTTCATTTTTAGAACTTTAATTGTAAACAATTCCAATAGTAAAGCAATTGCTTAAAATTATAATATTATTACACACACACATATAACACATATAACACACATACACACACACATACACACGCACACGCATACGCAAATAATAATTCAAATTATGTATTTTTAAAAAAATCTGTAATTATACAGAGTTTGATAACTTTTTTCGAAGGGTGAAGGTAGATTGGCTCAAATTAAGAAGAAAGGTCCTCTACTGTTTTGTGATATTCGTAATAATTAATGAAAAATTAATTAAAGAAGCTCAGCCAATCCATACAAATATAAGCGTGCGACGAAGCGGTGGGGGACGCTCTCCAAAACATGATGGCGGCGCGCAGCGTTTCAGCGTTATGTTTAGTGAGTAAGGTCCGCTCATCTCTTCGTCGAGCGGCTAATATCAAGTTTCAGTGGGACGGCCTTTTTCGTCGCGTGCTCATCCTTGTACAGATTGGCTGAGCTTCTTTAATTAATTTTTCGTTAATTATTGCGAATATCGTAAACAATAGAGGATTTTTTTCCTTAATTTGATTTGATCTACCTTCGCACTTCGGGATTACAAAAAGTTATCAGACACCATGTATAATAAATATATGTCTGCAATCATATAAATGTATACATTGCTGTTGTTGTTTTATAAAAGAATAGTTTATTTCTCTCTTTATAAATAAATTAACTATGTGTCGCAATTAATTTTAAGATTTTCCTTTAGTAATACTATTATTATTTTAATTTTCCAAATTCTTTTTTATTACAAAATTAGCATGTCAATAATTAATTGTTAATGATACTCCAAATTGGTTGCGAGTAAAAATAATCGATAATTATGCTGCTAAACAAAATTTTAAAACAAATTAAAATTAAATTTTATTAAAATTTAAATTTGAATATGATTTAGATATTATAATGTTTGGAATCGATATGCTAATATTGAAAATTATATTAAGAATTATTAGTAAAGAAATGTTATAATTTTTATTATTTGACATATTTATAATTAATTTTATTTATTGTACAAAATAATAAATCACTTCTTCTTTACTTTGGTACAAAAATTTTTATATCTTTTATTATTTGAACTTAGATACCTAAATACCTTATCATGTTTTAACTTTATTTATATTACAGTTTGTTTCTCTAATTTTTATGTGTATATAGATACGTACCACTTTGTCCTTTTCCATTACACATTTACATACTTCCGGTGTCCATTCTAAAATATATGAATTAAAATTTAATAATACAACTTCATGTATGCATGTATAATTTGATAATTAAATTTATATAAATGTAAAGTTATTTCAAATTATTTAAATATAACAATTTATTTATTAACTATTCATTTAATGTTATCTTCTGCAAAGCATAATCGTTAATGCAAAAAATTTGTAGCATATTAAATTAGTTTTAATATATTAATATTACTAATCTGAATAGAAAAAATTATATCTCAATTTTATCTTTCTTTTCTACTTTGAAAGAAAAATATTAGGAGTTTTGAAAACGCCTGTTGTGATTATGTTTATGATTATATGATAAAAGTTATATTTGAAAATTGTGAAATACAAATTTTTTATTCAATAAATTTTTTAATTTATAGTTTATATTTATTTAATTCCAATATTTAATTGTGATATTATCGATTTACCCTGTACATTAAATTCTTTGATACAACTTGCATAATAATTGTACAACCGTGTTACTTGAGGATCAACAGCATAGGAAATTGTCTGAAAAATATAAAAGAGAAAAGAGAATTGCTATCTTCATATTTTCTGTTATCATTCATATGTATATCATTATTATTCCTATATATATCTCATTCTTATTTTTAATATTATTCAATATTATTTAACTTTATATTGGTCTCTAGTTTTCAATGTTGAAGTTATTTCAAATATATTGGGACAGACAATTACATTTATATGTATGTGCAACATATATTTATATTTAAATTAAAGAAAGCTTTTATATTTTTTAATCTATTTGTATTAAAAAAAAAAGAATATTTTATTCGATAATATATAATAATACCAGAATCAGTAACTTTTACAAAAAAGGAATTCAAGTACATACAAAACAATGCGTATGCGCGTGCGTGGCGCCTGCCATGTGTATGAAAAAAATTATTATTGTATCATTTATATAAACTTAATAATATAATAGATACATAAGAATATAATGAATGTAATAATTAAATCATTAAATAACAGGTGTGGGTAAAAAAAACCGCCTATCAGCAAGATAGTTTAATATACTATAATAAATAAATAAATAAATATATATAATATAGTTATATATAGATCTTATTTATTATTTATTTACGCTTAATTTTATCATTAAATTGTAGCAAATAGAAAATTGAAAAAATTACAAAATATAATTGAGAATTAGGAATAGCATTATTTCATCGGAACGTCACAATTATAGAATACAATGTTATATTGGAATTAATAACACTACATTAAAAACGTAAATCTTCATGTATTTATGCATAATTTTTTTATGTATAAAGAATTTAAGTATAATATAGTTCCATACATTTAAGAAAATAAGAAATTTGCATTAAAATAGTGTGATAATAACAATAATTTAAATACTGGGATATATACATATATTACGTATAAGTGTATAATATATT